GACGGTATCAACAACTTTTAGTAAGAATGTCGTTGTTTTTATCTAAATAAAGTGACTTGACGAAAAATTCCTTGAGCAGAACCTCATTATTATAAATGCAAGTAAATTTTTAATACGTACGAAAGTAATTTTATTCGTGAATAAAAAAATAAAAAAAATTCTAGAAAAACCATAGAGTCTAAGACCAGTGCAAATACCCAACCCTTCCAAATCGATGCTAAAAAAAGGCAAAAAAAAATATAGACTATCGCCAAACTCGATACTTTCTCGCGACTTGATGTATAAAAAGGTAAAAAAGAAAAATCATAAAAGAGGAAGTAGCAGCGATGGGGGACGTACACACGTATGCGTCGATGTATACATATACCTGTGCCCCTTCGAAGGAAGAATAAGTGTAGAAGAACGAAGAAAAGAAGGAGGAGAAAAGTGGCACATAAAGGACGAGAGAGAAGCAACAGGTAGTTGGTAACACGAGTGGGTGCCGAGACAGAAGAGAGAGAGAGGGAAGAAGGGGGGGTTATAGCTTGGAGACGAGTTTCGTGCCTATAGGTATACACGTACATGTGTATAGGTGAGTATCGCGGCGTGGATATTATACCTATGTTTACCTACGTGTGTGAGGTTCGTCCGGAGTTTATTCCCACGACAGGTGACACGTGGGAATCTCGGCGGCGCGCACACATCATATCGTTAATACACCCAACATATATATACATACATTATACGCTCACACAGCCCGACTCTTCGCTGCAGGTGGATTTTATCCAAGACTCGCCCTGTCAAGTGTACGTGTATATTATTACACTTAGGTATATCATGTATATACATACACGACCCTTGCGGGGTTTTATAAGGGGGTTGGGCGCAAGCGCACTCGAGGTGCTCTCTGTATGGTCGAAGGAGAGTCAGTCTGTTGAACCCTCCTCCTTTTCAACCCCCATTGTGGGGTGTACAATGTGTAAGCGATGGTGATGCGTCCGAGTCAAGTTTTTTTTTTGTGATACCCGTGCACTTGTTGAACCATCGAGTGATGCTTTTTCTTCCTCGCGTCCGTATGATTCCTTGGCTCGGCCCAACGGGATCTGACTCCATCACATCCTATAGGACTTTGACGAAAAAAGTACCCCCAATTAATCGATGAAAAATGTCAATTTTGGTTGAAATTCATTTGAATCGTATATAAATGGGTCTGATAAGAACTTTTTTTTCTTTCAAATAGGCATCCATGAACGTGGTACCTGTACGTTGTCACGGTAAACTCGTAACCATAACACAAGAGTATATAAGGAATACAGTTACGATGAAAAGGAAGAAAAAAAAAAAAAATACACTCGCTCGGTTCCCTCGGACGTTTCCATTTACTTTGCCTTTGCTTGTATACGCCTCACAGTTGTTATGTAAATCCAGCGGCGTCGTTTAAAACCAACAGGTAAATTAACTTTGTGTATACATATAGATACGTGTGCCGTATTTCATTTACAGAAATGACACGCACACGCAGCTTCTCTCGCGTTAAAAATAAATGTCACATATTATATATACGCATCCAAAACCCTTTCCTCGCGCAGCTAAAAAAATTATTTCTAATCCAATCAGCCTGTCGCAGACGTCTATGGTACAACCCCCACGGGGCAAGAGCGTCAGATAAACACGGGCTTTTTAAACAAGAGAGAAGAGAAGAAGAGAAAAAAAAAAAAAAAAAAAAAAAAGGAAAGAGGAAAGAGTTTTTAAACAACAACTTCGAAGGTGGTCTGTCAAGGTAACCGAGTGTGTAGCGTCTCCCGAGCCATCGGCTTTTAGGCTGAATCTACATCCTCGCTCTCTTACGGCCACACGAGTGGTAGAGCTATCTGCATTTTGAAGAACCTAATGCTATCGGAGGCAAACGTCAGTCTAAACAAACACTGATAAACAACTGCGCCCGTCGATTTATATACGATATATATATGCGTACCGGATGTTGACATGGATAAAAAAAAAGGAAAAAAAAAAGAAGAGAGAGAAGCTTGCGTGGAAAAGTCGATGTACTCGGAAGAGGTGCAGCCTTAGAGGAGCCGCACCACACGCGAGGAAACCTACATGTGTAACGTGGTATGAAACTGTTTCGCATACGTCCGCAACTCTCGTGTCTTACACGTCTCGATTGGTACGAGGAACCTATATTTCAACCGAGTAAAAAGTATCGGGTTCCTCCCATTAGGATTTTATTATAAATGATAAGATTAACTATTTACCGGCCAAGAATTTATGCGGTTTACAATTAATTGTTCCGAAATAGGATTCCGGTTCGGATGACGCGTGTTTGCTTTTAAACTTAAAATTCTCAATGGTAAACGGGGAAATTTTTCTATAAAATCTAAAAAAAAGGGCACCGAAATCAAACCGATCTTCCCAAACGCTGCGCCATTGTAGACGCGACTTGAGGCTCTCTCCTTCGCCTTGTATGAAGCAAAGCGTTATATATAAGTGTGGATAATCTCACTCACAAGCTCACGAGTGAGAGAAACGACAAAGTGAGCAACAACACAACGGTACAGAATCCGAGAGAGAGAAAGAAGAAAGGAGAGGGTCACCATCAGAAGCTGTGGACACCAATGGACGCTGTTAACCGATTTATCGATTCTCGGACTCGGTGAAGTTTGACATTTGACTGAGAGTTTGAAAATTTTTGGGTGTGAAAGTACGCGCGTGATTGACGCAGAATAAAAGACACGCACAGATGAAACAAAAAAGAAATCACATAGACTATATTATATACCCGTATACAAATGATGTACGAAAAATAATTTTTTTCTTTGCTCCATGGTTGGTATATAATACACGTTAGTTTGCGCGTGAATTTTCTCTGTGACGACGACACAAGCGAGCGCTCGCGCCACCCGAATTTACGGGTATTTAATTTTAGACGACTACCACGCCGGCAATTATACCTCGAGAGGCCCAAGAACGGTACTCCGGCTGTGTGATATCACGGGCTAATTTTAATATCCCTAATAAAGTGTCTTGGGGATTAATACGGCACCCGCAAGGAGTAACGGTAATTTAGTAATATTAAAACTAGGCTCGAGAAGTTTTGATGCAATCAATCGTTCATTCATTGACAATTTTAGCTGTTGCAGTGTATATACTTTGCGATAAGATTTGTTTTTAAAAATCACTCGAGTTATCGTGAAATAAAAAAAAAAAAAATTAAATTACCGAATATTACTTCTTATCCAGAAAGTAACATTACATGATCGGGTTGGGTGTACACCTGTACAGGAATGTAGGTATATTTCGATCAATAAAATTTCTAGCGCCCATCGAAACGTAACGGGAAACGGCTTCAATGTAACGTCCGATGGGCTGAGAAATCATAAAATAATTTTTAATGATTAGGCTTCGGCTCTTTCTTCGGTTTCTTTTGAAAAAATTATATTTTTTATTCGATTCAGTAAAGTAGGACCTATATGCTTCTGGATTGCTTTAGCATTGGGCAAAATTTTATAGCGATAAGGTGGATGATTTGCATTCATATTGTGGTAACGAAAATTCATCTAACATTTACCGTTGAACTTTTATTGGTCGTTTTACAAAAATGGGTTAGGAAATAAGATAGTGTTGTTGGTTTTAATTAACATCAATACAAATACGTTGTGATTTTTTAGCGAATGTAACGCATGAGATTTGCTAAATTTAATGTTTCAGCGACAATCGTTGTGATTATCGATTCGACGGAAAAACGTATTGTCGAATTACTTCCTTCGTGAATTATTTACCAGTGCCTCTACGAGACGTAAAAAACTGAAAAGAAAATTTATCGTTACGCTGACAAAATTTCCAATAACTTTTTTTTTTTTTTTTTTTTTTTTTGTCACAAATTATCAAAACTCACGTCTTATCGGTATGATAGCGTAAAAAAAAATTTCAGCTGTATTTTTTAATTTTTTTATTTACGAGTTTGTTAACGATTCCAATAACGATTATCGTTCCTTGAAAACATTTAAAAAACTAAATACATCGTTTGTTATGAAAAAAAAGATAGTATGTGCACCACACGTGGTATCGTCATACAGCCCAAATGGCACATTTGTCGATATTTAATTCGACGCGATAAATTATTCTTGGTATTCAATTGCTGTCACGCCCACGATTTTTTTCAACTCACTCTGCATCACCACGGACATGTCGAGTTGTTGATAATTCAGATTAAAAATCATCATTAACCGAGTTAAATCGTTTTCAATCTCAAAATCAATTAAACGGGTAAGTAAAAAAAGGCACAGTAATAAAACCCTCACATAACGATTGCATTCACAATGATAATAAAAAACGTATAGATTTCTTTCTTATCGGTCTCGAATTTGCGCCCGCATGTGTGTGTGTGTAAAGCTTCGCTTTTCTCTCACTTACAGGCTTAAGTGTATAGATTACAGATGCCAGACAACCGAATGATACTACGCTTCGAAGAATCGATACACCTAATTAGTCGTGGTTTCTTCAAACGCTGCACTATACAACGCTAGCCTACACGCATATATATACACGACAATATCGCAATTAATATAACTTACCGTTATAAAGCTGCAAAGGTTTATTCTGCACTGCCTATAAACTACTTATAGCAAAACTCGAGGCCTTGATTCCGAGCATACTTTCGACATTCCAATATCGGTATACTTTTACCTTATTCGTATATACACAGACAACTGGATCCTATGCCTTTCGATTAGGTGTATACATTATTATAACGATCACGCGTCCCTCAACGTCACGAAGAAACACGGAAAAATCGTCAGACTCGGCAATTTTTGTTCGCACGACTCGCGTGATGGTGTCTACTTGACTAACGATCGTAAGCGCAAAACTAAGCTCGCGAAGTAGGGGAAAAGAACGAAAGATCGTTACTCGAGGTAATTGTCGGAGAAATCGGTAAATCTATCGACGAGGCCGAAAAAATCGGTATCACCGAGTACACCTGATTCATGACGGCAATAATGTAATGATGTTCGTGCACTCACTTGAGGTAGTAGATCTGTCCCTCGGGCGTGCGTGCCTGTTCCCAACCGTGGGGCAGGGGCCCGAGATCGTCAACGGTACTGATGACGTCGTAGCTGCGCTGCTTCTGGTGGTGCACGTGCCTGGCCGAGTGGGGCTGGGGCGCGTGTTGGCTCTGCTGTTGGGCCGAGGCGTAGGTCTGCTGCAACGAGGCGGGACTGCTGTGCGCCCTGGGATGGGCGATCGTCAAGCCGGCCGATTGAATCTGACCGGTAGCCCCGGGACTGGTGGTGCCGTTGCTCCCCGAGCCATTGGACACGATGCCCGAGGCCACCGCCGCCGGGTTGACCCCACCGAGGACTCCGGCCCCGAAAGCCGAGTCGGCTGAATTTTCGCGCGAGTGCGAGATCGAGGGCGACTTGCTGCCGGTCGAGGGTGGATTGAAGAACGAATCGGGCAGGTTGCGCATGCGCAACGGCACCTGGAGCGGCCGATTCTTGTCCGGCTTGAGGACACTGTCGAACAGGGCCTGCAGATCCGACTCTGAGTTCTGGTCGATGCGCACCTCGAGGTTGCGCTTGTTCGCGCTACCCGTGTCCCCGACGTCCTGGTTAAGCGCCATTTTGTGTCAAAGGGTACTGTTATTTATTTATTTTTTTGCTTCTATCTCCAGTCTCGATCGGTCCACGCCAACAACAGCAGGCAGCTGGCACCGGAGTTCCTTCCACTTGCGCGCGTACGACAACGCGAAAGAGCCAAAAAGAGAGAATTGCAACAGCCTCCTTTCCTCCTGATCGGTTGGCTCTTCCTTCTTTCCTACGAGATCGGCAGGGCTCGCTGGTACTATACCGATCTCTCGGCAGTGACGCGTTCGCGTATATAGCTGCCGTTTATCGCGAATCGCACCTTCCCCGTCTCTCTCTTTTCTCTCGTTCGGGTCGCGCAGGTATAATATACACAATATGCGGAGACGAGATCGGCAGCTAGGTGTATATACCTGCGCCTCCTCCTTCGCTCCGTCTGTCTTTCAGCGGTGGCGGCCTACGTGTGTATACACCTGACGACAGCGGGCTTTTCTCTCTCTCTCTCTCTCTCTCGCTTCTTTACAAGACGGTCGAGCAAGTGTGTGTGTATATATAGGAGGCCAAACAATCGGGGAAAGAAAGGGAAGAGAGAGAGAGAGAGAGGATAGCGCAGGCACCTTGCGCCAACAGCTACAGGAGCAGGGGCCCGCAGCCTCCCGACGTCCCTCGTCGCGCAGGTCTCGCTCGCCCGAGCCTTCTTTCATTCATTCGTGCGCGGCACATCCGCTCCTTCCCCGATGCCTCGCTTGCGCACCCGTTCTTCCACAGAGAGTCTTATATACGTACTCTCTCTCTCTCTCTCTCTCCTTCGGTCCTTTCTCCCCGATCCGATCTTCTTCTTCTTCTCTCTGCAGCCTTGTTGCGTGCAGCTTCTCCGTCTCTTCTTCCGCGAAATGCGCCTCCGTCTTCTTTCTTTCTTACTTGCTTGCTCCCTCCTACGTGTATATATATATATATGTATATATATATATACAAGTGTGTATTAAAACAGTATATTCTCTTTCTCTCTTTGGCGCGTCGCCGACGTCGTTGTCTTTCTCTCTCTCTCTCTCTCTCTCTCTCCTTCTCTCCGTCTCGCCTCTCTTGTGTTCCTACATACGTGCGCACACAATACAATACGCGTTCAATTATAGTACGTACTCGTCTCCAAGTGGGCCTCGTATACGACGTCCACTCTCACGCTTATTATCGCTACGTTGGGATCCTTATCGTTGGCGAATCATCGAGATTCATATGTGACATCGGAGGGGGGAGAGGGGGCCTCCTTTGCACTGGTTCTTTCCTTCTTTTTATGTCGCCGATCGCGGAGATCGTGGGATACGGTTGCCGATTTTTCCCGTCGATCGGCACGACGTTCGACGCACTCACTCGGCACCGCGGCCGGTCCGATTTTTTTTTTTTTTTTTTTTTTTTTCTTCGCTTTAGAACCGCGACTCGGCGATCTATCGATAAATCAACGATAAAAGAACGAGGATGGGAGGAGCAAAAAAGAAAGAAAGAAAGAAAGAAAGAAAGGAGGTGGAGGAAGAAGACAAGGGGAAAGATTTTGCGGAGCGAGAACGGGTTCGGTTGTCGCGTTGCGACGATCGTCGCGGCGGACGGCTGCGAGTGAGGGCCCAGACTGAGCGGACGGCGCGTTCGCGCGGCAGAGAGAGGAAAATATACGAGGCGCTTCGGGGAATTCAGCGGCGATGGCGGCGCGAGTGTGCAAAGGAGCGGCGGCGGAGGAGGGTCCCCTCCCCCGCTCGGCGCAAACCGGGGGGGGGAGAGAGAAAAACACAGACCCCTCTCTCTCTCTCTCTCGTAAATGCCTACATATATACGAGCGTTTTCATACTCGTGTTGGTTGGAGTGAGTGTCGGATAGTTGGGGCAGGGAACCTGGGGATGTACGGAAAACCAAAGAGGCTCTCGTAAGACGAAAGGAGAGAGAGAGAGAGAGCGGTGGAGGAGAATAAGAAGCAGGAGGAAGATAAACGGAGAAAAACAAGGATGTCGAAGAGGCATCGAGGGAGGAGTCGTCGACTCCGAAACTCCAAAGACTCTCCGGCCTCGCAAATTCGACCGTACAATAGCTAAGGGACTTTGCAGTAGTTGGTGCGATGAGTGATTTTGTGCCTGTCGTGAAAGTTGAGCTTTGAGTTGTCAAGTGAGCTATTGTGATCGATTCCATTGAAAAAGTCTTCAGTTGCATGTAAACCCAGATCTTCGAAAAAACCTGAGTTACCTGAGGGTGCGTTTTCACCCTCCCACTGAAAAAGCTTGTTTTTTTTTTTGCGTGAATTTATTTGAGAATCGATACTTTGTTAGTAACTATGTAAAATTTTGCTAGGAAAAATAATCACAATGGAACACACCACCCAACCAACGTTTCATCCACCCTGGACCCTATTATGGACTACCGGTCGAACACACCCCCTTGGAGTGCATGCAGTGGACGTTAAGTTCAGTAATTTAAATGCATACACCAGATAGATCACTACATGCAGGTGGGACTCTTTTGAGGGGATGTATATGGATCACTGGATAAAATAGGATTCACACGCCTCCTGAAAACATCGAGGGGGTGCGTCGTTCCCGGCACAGGTGGGGTCCATACAGGACAAATACACACCAAGGAAATGTCTGGATTCCTACATACAGGAGAAACTCTTACCGTACACTTTAAAGGGTTGTGTGAATCACTGTAAAGAATTAAAAACTCTAATATCCATAACTTTATACTTTGAGGGGGTTGTAAGGGGTCACCAAGCGAGTCAATAATTATAAATATACGTATAGGGTGAGCTTATACACCTTGAAAACGCATCGGAGGGTATGTTGATGATTGTACAAGTAGCACTCATACACCTCTTATAATTTTTGTGGGGTGTATGGATCACTATTGTACGTGGGACCCGTATCACCCTCGAAAGTGCTACTTCATTGTACACAGGTGGAACTCACACGTTCAGCTGAACGTCAAGGAAGGGTGTATTACCACTATACAGAAGGTTCAAATGACTCATTACAAGGTCATATGTGGGTCAGTATACAAATAGACCACTACACAAGTGATACTTATATGCACGATCAACAGACGTCAAAGGGGTGATTTTGAAACAAATGCACCCTTAGCCCTTGGCTTTCGATCTTATTAACATTTTTTACTTCACTGTCAATAAAATTAAATTTTACGTGCATGTTGCAACCTAAATTTTGAACTCAATGTAATAAAAATGAGGTGCATACGTAAAAATTAGATCATTCTTGAAAATTAAAAAAAATTAATAATAATAATTTTAAATATACAAAGAGCCGTTTACAAGAGTGTACGTCACGTTGACTTTATCGATGAGATAACAACAATTTATCACGTGATATTTAAAACAAAACAAAATCCATCATAAAAGCTCACCTTTGATTGACATTTTTGTAGAATCGTTCATGTACACATGTTATATACACACCCACACATTTGACCGAAGCTTAATCTTATACTTGCACTTGTTTACCTCTGCTTCTCTCCCACTATTTCTTTTCTTTCGCTCGTATATACTCTCTTACATGTATTTACGCATATATATATATATATATATATATACGATACTGTGTGCGTGGGAGTGTTCAAATGTTCACCAGCTCTGCGAGAGCGTGTATGAAATAAGTAATGTATAGAGGTGGGCTTCGCGCGTGAGAGTCAGAGCGGGGGAGCCTCGTTCCGCAGAAACGGAGAGGGGCGTTATCACGACCCCTCGTATACGCGTACGAATACGTCGTAATGAGTAAGCAAAGGTGAATCGAGTTTATTAATTTTTACCTACGTGTGCGTCTTTTGTTTCAACCTTGAAGGAGCAAATCGTGGATAAATGCTGATAAAATGCGTGCGGGTGACAACAATAAGTATCAGATAGTATTTACAATGAAATGAAGGGTTGAGATGGTTCAAGTTGTACAATCAGTGGTCATAAATAGTTTTTAGAACTATTAATTGCAAGCAGTAATGCAGTTACAATTTTTTTTTTTTTTTTTATTTATCCAAGCGAATTATGAAAAAGGTATCGATTAAGCATTTCCAAATCACTTTGACTGAACGTTAGTTAATTTATGAGGAATTTTCAATTATAAAATGTTTAAAAATAATGAACATTTTTCTATAATTATTTAATTTTAAATTTGTATAGCTTATTCTATTCCTTGGTGCATATAATATATATGTAAAATTTAAGAAAAATATGACTTGTATTGAAGGTGTACACATTTACGCATACCTTTTTTAATAGTGCCATTTTTAAATGTTTTAAATGAAGCTTAAAATTATTTAATTGAAAATACTCTTTGATAAATTAACCGATACATTAAATCAAGGTAGCTTTAAAATATTTAGATTGATGCTTTTTCACTTTTCTTTGGGATAAATTTATTTATTGTGTATTAAAAGCAACAATTCTAAAAACTGTTTTCTAGCGCCAATGATACAGCTAGAACAACCTTAAAAACAGCTTGTGTGTACTCAAGTGTATACATAGCCCAAATACGCGTTTACAGAACAGTTCCGAGTTTATACTGTGTTTTACACCGCAGCAGTTCTAGTTTACAAACGCCATAGTTTTTCTCGAAATAAATTAAGTGCCTACTTTCTCAAATTGATAATCATGATTAATATAGGAATATACTTAGGGATAAACATTTTACTAAATTGTCGATCGAAAAAAAAACAGAATAAAAAAATCTCACTTTTTTTAAAAATAATTATTTACCTTGGGTTAAACTTTCGAGCAATATGTTAGTAACAAGAGTAAGTGTAAAAAATTGCAGTGGCCATTTAATTATTATTTTGGGGCACTCCGACTTCATACATGTGATTTTCACTCACGCTATGACATTATTAAAAAAAGTTTTAATAAGTATAGCTCAAAAACTACTTAGATTCACGTACAATTTTTTTTTTTTTTTTTTTCCTAAACAAACAAAGAGAAAGTTACCTTTTTCGAGCCATTGATTTTTTGCACTTTTTTTTACTAGATAATTAAGCTCCGAAATTTTTCGTCGACTAAACCCCAACGCTTGTTCGATTCAGTTAGCACATGGTTTACTCAACTGTGGTGGAAGCGTCGACGAAAAAAATCTCACTTTGGACGGTAAAACATGGTGGAGAACTTCTCCTGTTCCAGGACCAAGTCAACGACACACGCGAAACGGCTCTGTTCACAGCTGCGAGGGCCAAACAGTGGAAAAGCTTTCGACTGCTGTTCCTGAGGCTCGGTGCCGATGCAAATTTCAGAAACGTGGAGGGCAAGACGCGGCTTCACCTGATAGCCAACTCGGGCTGGTGTTTCGACTCGGTGCAACAGCTGCTCCTCGCCGGAATAAAAGCCCACACCAAGGACGAACGTGGCAGGAGTCCCCTAGAAATTTCCGTTACCCGGGGACGTACCAAGATTTTCGAAAACCCGTTGATCGCAGACACGGGACTGATTGTACCGATCTCGAGATCGGCATCGGTGCAATCCCTACCGATTCTTTCGCCAGATCGATTATCGTGAAACGCACTCTGCTGCACTGAGTCCGGAGGTCAGTCAACTCGACATGGACGCTGAGTTTAGGATATACGGGGATATCGGTACGGGTAGACATCACGAGTCACTGGACATTGCTGGACTTTCTTCGCGCTGACAGGCGTCGCGTGGCCGATGTGCTCTTTTGCAAGAGTAGACCAGCTGGCGGTTTACTCTAAAGGGTTGGAAGACACTTTTCCATGGGGATGACGGGCAAACATTGCTCAGAGGGGAGAATGGTTTTCCCGACTGTCGATTGTCGCGAAAAGTTCCAGGAAACATATCTAGCTACCGTAGTTGCGAGGAATTGAAGAATTTTTTGGAGGGATGTTGCGATCTTTTTTTGAAATGGTATGCACAACTGCCCGAGGTGCGCGGTTGTTGTATATTTCTGCTCGAGTCGCGTACATAGCTTTTCATTCCGTAAGCCCAAAGTGATTTCATGGGAACCATAAAAATGGCCCAAGGGCGAAAAACGACAGTTGCTCTTTATGCCCACAGTAAGGAGTGGTATAGTTTTGCTGTGCTTGCCCTGGTTGGATGCGCACCAGGTGTGATTATTACCTATTTTTTCTACCAAGGACACACCCAACTCTCAAAAAGGCCCAAGGTATAGGAAATGGTAATTTTCGTCACTAAAGTGCCATCGTATCCGGGGCTATTTTGCGGCTCGAAGGTCCTACGCGAAGTAGGCCCGAGGGACCGTAAGGTAGCCCCGAATGGATGGCACTTTTTTGCCGAACAATGTTTTTCCTAGCGAGGACACACCGCAGCACTTCAAAAACGCTCGAGGTAGGAAAAATTGTTTTTGAGCTCCCTTTGTGTCAGTTACCATGTAATTACAGTACTTAAATAAGTTTTTAAAACGTTGCATGCCATTAGGGAAATAATTCAATCATCAACTTATATATACATTATTATTATTATTATTATTATTATTATTATTATTATTATTATTATTATTATTATTATTATTATTATTGTTATTATCATTTTAAAAAGTGGGGCAGGTAACGAATATTGTGAAAAATTATTGTTATTTAATCTTTCTATTATCCAATAACCGAATATATCTATGTACTGCTCGACGCCACATAAATCGGAATCACCTCCGGATATAATTTAACAATCGCGTTGGAAAATCAGAATCCGAAGTTTAAAATTACACTATCTACTCTCAGTTTATGTATATATAAGTAATCATCGTAATCCTACTTTCGAATCAACTAATACATGTTTCAGTTTTTGTACTCTTGCATGAGTTTTCAATATTACTATTTCAGTGCAATGAGAGCTAATGCAGACTCCCGGATTTCGTTCTTATTTTGATTCTTTCCGTTGCGACGTCTACAGTTACAGCTCCGTCGCATTTTTGTCCCCGACTTGGGGTTAAGACAAAGAGCTGAGGCCCGAGGGTGGTCAAAAATTTAAACTAGCCGCAACTCCTACCAGAAATTAAAAACTTTGTACTTCGAAAGAGATCTAAAATATTTTGGTCATATTTCATTATGGTAAGGAATTGTGATAATTGAAGCATTACCATGTAGTCGATCTTACAAACCAGCCGAAACTTTGACTAACGAATAGAAAATTAAGTTATTGTACATTGTACCATGTGTTGTTTTGCGGCAAGACTAAATTATATCTTCTACACAAAAATCGACCTTAAAAAAGATGGTCTCCTGGTTGATTTTCGAGTGAAAGATAAATTTTTATCTTACCACAAATGGCACCATTTCTAATAATTTTTTAGTATCCATCCGCAGGTTTAGGTTACGGCTGGTTTATAAAATTGACCAAATGGCACTACTGTAATTACCACGTAACTCTTCTCCAGAATAAAACATGACAGAAATGTTCCGGATCTCTACGAATCATGATCTCAATTCTAGCTCAAGTTGCGGCTGGTTTAAATTTTTTACCACTCCCGGACCTCAGCTCTTGGTCTAGTTGGGGTTTGGACTTTGGGGTGCAGTGCTCTAGTTGCACGTCAACGTAAACATTATAAACTGCACCGCATCATCCCAACTCAGTGAATTTAATCCCTGTGGACTCTGATGGAGTCTGGACTGGACAGGCAGGGGGCAGCAAGGGGGTAGAGCTCAGAGCTGTCTTGCGGCAGTCTCCGTGACTCCAGTTTCTGTACCGCGTCGTTATAGGTACTCGTCGTGTGCTTTTTGTGTGTGGGTGGTAGTGCGGTGTGCGGTTTTGACGTTCACTGAACGAAGATGTCTTCGAAAAGGTATTTAAATAATTTACCCTGATCCTCGCCGTGTTTATAATCACCTTACCTCACCGATTATACTCGGAAGCTGGAAAATTCAGTTCATGTCTAGGCATTTTGTTGTGAGGGCACTTGACTTGCGTCTACCCCTGGAGCCCCGATTACTGGAGTGTGTTTACTTGTAACAAAACAAAAAAAAACAAAAAAAAAAAAAAAACAAGCCAATTTAAATGATTTTTTTTTCCTCCATTCTCATCGCAGTACGAAAACAGTCTCACCTAGCTCGAAATAATTTTAGAGAAACAGCAGCGAGATATAAACCTATTTTTTATTAATAGGCATCTCGTTCTCGAGCTGAAACCAAGCTACCTCATTTTTCGACGAATCTCCCGTCTATTGTTTATGTCCTAGTTAACCGGCATGTTTAATCAGTTTATTGACAGTAACATTGCTGGCTTGTTAGGCTAATTTAAAACCACATGATTAATTCATAAAGAGTACACAAAGCTGTGGCAAGTTCCAAAGCTTGACGTGCATTGTGACAGTGCTGCAGACCATGTAAAAATAGCTGTCCAAAAATTAAAACATTTTATAACTACCATGTAACGAGTTCTTTGACCATCAGACACGTAAATTCTGAAAATGAATCTTCCCATGTACATACATTGTTCACTATTAAATTAAATTTTTATTACATTTAGAACATCAAACTTAGATCTATCTATTCAAAATTTTCAGTGAACTCAAAAAGTTGTCAGAAGAAAGCTTAACCAGACAGCCAGAAGAAGTGTTTGATATAATTTGTAAATTAGGAGAAGGGTGAGTGTTTACATATATTCAAATAATTAAATTTCAAGTTGAGGAGTACCTTAGCTTATGCAGTATAAATATTTCAATTTTATGTAAATAAGAACTGGATACAAGAAATAATTAATTCTGTCTTTAAATTTTAGATCTTATGGATCTGTATATAAGGCATTGCACAAAGAAAGTGGACAGGTGCTTGCAATCAAGCAAGTACCTGTTGACACTGATCTTCAGGAAATCATAAAAGAAATATCTATTATGCAACAATGTGATTCTCCATATGTAGTCAAATATTATGGAAGTTATTTTAAAAATACCGATCTATGGGTAAATTTATTCACCAAGTTTTTCAATAACATATCCTAAACTAATGTTTTACTGGTACAACATTATTTATTAATTAAATTAAATTAAATTTATTTTTAATCCAGATTGTTATGGAGTACTGTGGTGCTGGTTCTGTTAGTGACATCATGAGGTTAAGAAAGAAAACATTACAAGAAGACGAAATCGCAACAATTTTATGTGATACCTTAAAGGGCTTAGAATATCTACACTTGAGAAGAAAAATCCACAGGGATATCAAAGCAGGAAATATCCTATTAAATAATGAAGGACATGCTAAGTTGGCAGACTTTGGTGTTGCTGGTCAATTGACGGTAACTTGAATGATTATTTTTATTCCCTTTAATATAATATTATTGAAAGTGTCCACATAGATTTCACTGGTATTTATTAATCATCTTCTTACCCTTTAGGACACAATGGCAAAGCGAAACACTGTCATTGGTACTCCATTCTGGATGGCTCCAGAGGTAATTCAAGAAATTGGATACGATTGCGTGGCAGATATTTGGTCTCTGGGCATTACAGCTCTTGAAATGGCGGAGGGAAAACCACCTTATGGAGATATACATCCTATGAGAGCGATTTTCATGATCCCTACAAAGCCACCACCCAGCTTTAGAGAGCCAGACCAGTGGAGTCCAGAGTTTATTGATTTCGTTAGCGTGTGCCTTGTTAAAAACCCAGAAGAGAGAGCAACTGCTAGTGAATTATTAAATCATGAATTCATTGGTACGTTTTGAAAAAAAAAGAAAAAAATTAATCCATGTTTAAAGAAGTGTGATCATATGTTATAAGGTTTTTTTTTCCTTAGGCAATGCTAAACAGCCAAATATTCTTAGTCTTATGATCGCAGAAGCACACGAAATCAGAGAAAAACAAAGTGCCAATCGTGCGCATGTGATAAATAACGTAGCAATTAAGGGGCAAAATAATGCTGAGGACTCGGTAATACAACTAAGTGCTCTTTTTAAATGGTAATAAGTACAAAAAATGTTTAACAAATGTTCAAATTTATGTAGGATGAAGACGATTGCACTGGAACTATGAAACCCTTACCAGAAGATCAAGGAACTTTAGTCCCAGAACGTGACCTTCCAGACACAGGAACTCTCACGTCAGCAATGCTAGATTTAGGAACAATGGTTATAAATAGTGATACTGATACGGAGGCAACAATGAAAAGTGTGCTAAAGTTTTATCTTACATATTTATTTTGAAATATAGTTTACATAGTATGTAATTCCTGGTGCTTGTAGGACATAACACTGGATCGGTTGAATCTGGAAAAAAATATCGGCCATTATTCCTTGACCATTTTGACAAGAAAGAATCGCCAGAAGTTGAAAAAGTGGGTGTAAAATATATTAAATCCAATATGTTAAGCATCCCATTGATTTTTTATTTTATGTATCAGGGAAATGGCCAAATCCACTTGATACAGACTAATCCTGAGGTGGATAACAAACCAGAAGTGCATCAGCAGCAGCAGCAGCAGCAGCAACAACACCAACAAAATCAATTGGAATCCCAAAGGTTTCAAAACCATCTTCAGATGCAACTTAATCAAATTTCACATCCAGTGCCAGAGCAGCCCCATAACAACATATCAAAGATGCAAAATGTGTTCAATGAACGTGAATTTGATTTTGTATGGGCTTTTATTACCTTTATAGCTCATTGATCATTAAATAGAAACTTATGAGAGATTGAAATTATTTACAGTTGAAGTTCCTGTCGTTTGAGGAGTTGCAGCAGAGAATGGAAAATTTGGACGTCGAATTGGAAAAAGAAATTAACGAACTGAAAAAAAGGTACCAAACAAAGAGACAACCGATACTTGATGCTATGGATACAAAGCGAAAGCGTCAACAAAACTTTTAACAGTTAGGTACTTTTTTAACAATACGTAAAATGCGTGTGATAAATTGAAGGATGTACAGATGTATAAATATGAATAGATGTTCTATAATCGTGCCCTCGTGATCTCGTAAGTAACTACTTAAGTCTTTGACTTAAAATTTTCATCTTACGAAATCAGAATTTCGTTGTGAGAGGTAAAAAATCTTTACCAGCCAATAGCCTCAGATCAACCAGCGTAAATTATTTTGCAATAACGATTCGAAATATGGGAGAACTACGATAATACTTAATTTTTTTTTACTTGAATGTAGTTATTGTTAAATATACTATAAATACAATACTTTTTCCAAAAAAAAAAAAAAAAAAAAAAAAAAACTAGAACCGTTTAGCGGACTAAAAAGTTAAGTATGTGATGCATTAGCTGCGCATGTAAATAATACAACTAGACTGCTAATTTTGCACTAAAAGCAAATTTTTACAATATTTATAGCGTAATAGAGATGAAGGAATAAAATACTAATGTATAAAGTAAAGAAACGTAATATCTGTGAAAATTTAGGAAACTAAATTTCATGCGTTTTATCAAAACTTTGATAATGTTTATATAATGATTGTTAGGTTCTTGTAAAATAAATGCCTTTTGTGGCAACAATTGAGATAAATTTCCTTTTCAACACATTTCAATTATGACACCCGCATTGTATTGTCATCGTGAATAAATATAATAAATCGTGTTTGTGTAAAAATCGCGATTACACTCACATCGAGTTCATAAGTAATAAAATAACAAAGTGCTCATGATACGATGCCAACTTTGGCTGGATTGGTCATTTTAAAATTAAGCATTTATTTCAAATTGAGGTACGTTGTAAAATTTGTACGTATTCGTAAAACTAACTAGCACAGTCTTACAATAATTTAATTTAGACGCTTTTCAAGAAACTTTTAAATAAAAGAAAACATGCTTTTTAGCTTTCGGCAAATAATTAAAAAGAATTTTTACCATCAAAACTATAAATTTTAGTGATTTTTCTCGTAATGTATTCAAATAATGAGAAAAATTAAACCCAAAATTTATTATTTATAAACTAATGGTACAAAAATACATCTTACAATTATACATTTTATTGCTTACAAATTTTAGCTTTTAGTAAAATTATCAAGTTTGATAATACTTTTTTTTTAAATAAAATACATTTTTTTGTCCTCTGTCAAAAAATATATGACATTAGAAGGGCAAACGTCACATCTTTTTACAAAGTAATACAGTATTTAATGTTTGTCTGTTTACTGTATCAATCAATTTTACAATACTGATCATATTCGAAACAACAAACCTCGATTTAAATGAAATAAAATTCTGGAACAATAAATACATAAATCGCTTCCTATGCTGACATAGGTAAAGTACAGATACAGTGGTATTACGCACTTAACACAAATGTTTTCTTCATTTGTTTCTGTATTTTCTGCAATTGTGGAAACGTCTAATACATGCATTTCGATAATCTTTTTTCAAAGATAGACATTTTAGATACAAAGCCAACAGCGTATAAAAAAAATTTTACAATGACTTATTCTGAAAGTAAAAACCGTAGATATTTTTTAGCGTTAGTCTTCCTAATTATGCAATTGTATTCGAAAGAGGAAAAATTGTCTTAAATTAATCATGTATTCGTTAAAAAGGGACGAATTTTACGCATACATCGATGCATACGTAAATATTTGTCACCACAGCTGAGACAGGTGTAGAATTAAATTCTAATCAAGAGCTTTTGAAATCATTGTTAAAAAATATATATATCGTGCATTTTTCAAGAGAAAAAATCACAATCATAGATTCATTATCATTAGTTGTAATTTTAGTGAATCAAAGAAATAAATGAAATTATCCATTTTTTAAATTATCAGTAAAGTCTTGTTATAAGTTACATAAAATTAATCGTTAATATTTACGCCATTGTAATAGCGATGAACATGAAATGTGTACCCATGTAAAAGCAACAAAGCTGTAGAAAAAACTAAAAACTATAAATTCATTTGAAAAAAAAAAAAAAAACAGTCACAAACATCATAATGATGAAAATAGCTAACATATTTTTGATATAGAAATTAATAAGAAACCATGCGCCTTCTCGACCTATACCAAGGTTTTGATACTGAAACCCATTACAAAAAATAATTAAAATAAAAACTAATTATTTACCATTACTTTCACAAAAGTTTTACCATTTTGCTTTCATTCACAAGAAAATGAGCATTAACTAATTATAGACTGTTGTAATAATTTTTTGATTTAAGAAATTTAAAAAAAAAAGATAATATAAAGTGCATTTCAAAAATTTAGTGTATTTTTTTAAACACCTCTTCGTCACCACCACAGAAGAATGAACTGTTAGAAAAATAATAGACAGGTATGTTTTACTAATAAAAACATATAAATTTATTGATCTCTCACTCGTACAGGCGGCAGTTTAAAATTACATATAATAAAATTTATACTTTACATAACACACTTATTTCATTTGTTGTAATCACATAATTGTGCGCTACAATACAATCAAACAAGAGATTCTTAAATTCGTCAAACTTCGAAGTGTCAATTGCTCTTTTTCCCCTCTAAACAAGTGAGTTGTATAATATTATCACATTTTGATAAACAATTTCTGACAAAACTGCCATGATATGTACGTCTAAATTGTTTCCTTGAGACATTATTTTTCAAGGTATAATTTTCGATAGTGTTGGAAACAATCCAAGCCCCGCGATTTGACAAATGTATTAATTTTCGTACCTAGCATGTTTGTGTTTTTTATTATTTTTTTTTTATTTAAAATGCGGATGCATTATCCAGAGTAAAAAAAATTGTATAATATTGAAGCAATATAACCGAGAATTAATACACTTCAACATTATCTTTAACACTTTTAAATATTAATTTCAAACGTGACATTTACAATAGTAACATTTAACAGCTGCTTAAAACAACATACCAATTTTTGAGTACTCGCAATCAAAAAGTATAAAATATCTGTATTCTCAATTTTATCGTCATTCCCAGGCACTGTTATGTACAAACCGCATTATCTAAAAATATATATTTATATCCCGTACATATAATTTTATAACAGACAAATGTTTGGCCACTGCTTATTTCATATTAGTTAACTTTAACACATCATTGCAATAATTCCATTGTGCAGCCCTTAGTGTGTACATAAATTAAAAATACTTTTATCCTTATGAAAAAGTATTTTACAATTGCGTTTTGTAAAATTCTTCACAAAATCATCTATGTTACTACACTTACGTGTGTATTCTTACACATAGACTTTTACATGCATACTTCAAGTTGGAATTAGGAATTTTGTTTTCAGATAAGTACTTGTCTAAAAATTTATCTTTTGAAAGTTCTTATGTCAAATAAATATCATTAGCAATGTTTATAAAAATATACGTATAAAACGTAACATGGCAAGACATACAATTGATTAAAGTCTTTTACAAGTCATCATCACCTATCATACAGAAAGCATTATTTTCTAGCAAATCTCCGTCAGCATTAGATTGTCTATCCCGACTTAGGACAGGTGATTTGACTGGAGTAGTTTTATTTATTTTAACAGCAGAAAATCTTTCGGTAATTTTTTTGAATATTGGCTCTGTTTTAGTACGATTATTAAGATCATTTTCCTGCAAAAAGTAAAAGTTGAAAATAAAAAACTTGGAAAATACTCATAATTAAAATTTAAAAAGTACCTTAGTAGTTTTATCGAAAACTTCTGGTGTGACATCTCCTGCAATAGTTCGAGTGTTTCCATCTCTCGTCATATATGCCCACGTCTTTCCCGTTGACTCTTGACATTTAACGCCGCCAATATTTTTTAAAAGTAGTTCATCAATCATTGACTGTAAACACACACTCATCAGTATAGCTTGATTTGACGATATAGTAATCCACTGTAATTGATCTTTCGACATTAAATATTCAAACGAAAGCTCCAAACTGCAATCGTTATTTTCTCCAGCTTTATCATTCCCCTGCAGCATTAAGAAATAAATCAATTTATTATTATGTATTGTTGGTTTGAAGTTGGTTTTAATTTTATTTCATTTAGTAATACCTCATGAAGAGTAATGATACGCCAGCAACGCATTCTTGTCACTTTAAATGCAATTTCTTCTGGATGGCCATTCAAAAGTATAGCTCGTACATTAAGTTCATTTTTTCCTATGGTCACCAAAACTTTAGAACCTGGTTGAGGATAATCACAAACACAAGGTGCAAATTGTATGTGTCCATAGTATTTGAGCGACTGGACTATTTCTAAATACTAAAACGTTCATTAATATATTAATTTTAAAAAATTTAAAAAGTAAAAAATCTTTTAATACTTTTTCTTTGCTGCCACGAGATTTCAAACTATCTAGACGGCACTTTATATCTTCTGTAGTGAGTATCCACCCTCTTTCTACTTCTGAAAGAGCTTGAGCATACAACAATTTCAAAGCCATTGGGTCGTGAAGTAAATTTTTGTCATATTCTGTGTCCCAGTACCATTTTCCAATAACTATTCTAGTTCCAATTTTTCGCATATTGCTTAACGTGATGATAGGTGATTCAAAATCTTGTAGCTTTCGTAATACTATTGAATATAATGGAAAAAATTGTAAATCCTCAAAAATCACACAGAAATTGATAGTAAATTAATATTTACCAATAAAGTTTTCTTTGTCTTGGTAAACAACAAATAAGGAAAAATACAAGTACAAATTATCATCTAATCCAATTTGCTTACAAGATTTCTGTAAATATAACATAATGATGATAAAATTAAAAGATTAAAGCTCACTTAAATGGAAAAATTATGAGAAAAATATTTTACAAAAACTTACTTACCTTCAATAGTTGTGCAGAATTTTCAGTCACGGAGACATCGAAATTGATTTTTGTTCCATCCATAAGAAATACATCTATATTTTCATTTATAATAGGACATCCTGCACTCTCTATCTGAGCACACAGTAAAAAACTATACAATAGCTCAGTATTATTTACATTAGTATTTTGACCAATCGTCTGGATGAATTTGTCAAGGCATGATTTTCTCTCTTCCTGTTGAGTTACAGTTAAAGGAAAAAGTTTTTTCTTAGGAAACTCTGGTAGAGGTGTGTCTGAATCTTTCAAGAGCTGTTCGTAAAGATTATAAAACTGCTTATATCGAACAGTGCAATGGTATAGACCATTTATGTGAACATTGTAACCCTGTAAAAATTACAATTTTTAATGAATACAATCTTTACAACGTTTTCCTCTAAAACTTATAACATTAAAAAATAATAACAATCAGTTTATACAAATAAATAAAAATCGAATGTCCAAGTACTCACTACATATGCACTGCCAGCATCATCAACTAGATCCTGGGTGTCAGGCACAGAAAAATGCATGTTTGCAGCTTAAGAACGTTATGTATCTACTGCATGAAGCAACTATACTTTCCTACAAGTTAAAAGTAAAGCATGAAAGTACGGGACAGACGAGCTAACTTGATTTAAATTTAAGCCAACAGCACAAATCTCTTACCTTTCTTAATAGCTTTCCTGTATTATTGTGTATAATAGTCCTACGGAATGTAATCTGTGTACAGTACATAGGTCATAATAGGCCAATAGACCGGCCCAGAGAGCGAGATGGATATAAACAATAGCGGCTGTGAGTCAAAAGAAAAAAAGTCACGGTCACCTTAATAGGTATCATCTAGTTTATGAGTACCTAACGTCGTAAATAACACTTCACAGGAAAAACATGCATATGGTACACTTTTGTAAACTGTCATTATAGAGTGACTTGTATTTACATACTCACTAGAACTGTTGATCGAGTTCCTTATTACAGCTGCAATATTTACAAAGCCACGATTTTTACCACTAACTCAATTGTGATCGATATCCACTCAAACTGTTTATGATACTTTTTGAATCACTATACTTGTAATACTGGTATTGGAGACAAACAACAAAAAGGAGCACACGTACCGGAAGTAAGTAGGTAGTACCTACTTTATACTGTTTAGGAAGTATAGAAAACGAATACGCCTCCTCTCACAAATCTCTGAGGCTCTCATGCAGTCCTACTTACTTATCTCCTATATCCCATGCTCGATGAAAGCTGTAGAGAAAAGTGAGACTTATATATGTAGTATAGTGTATGTACATGTAAAAGCGTACACTATTATGCCATAGCCGTTCTGTTTACTGTTGCAATGGATCAAAGTATAGAAGTTGTGAACTCTGATGGCTATATGACAATCAACTATAATACAATATCACGAATCACGAAATGAAAGTTTGACAGCTGAAGCAAACATTAATCTCACTGTTTTCTTCTGACTTGTGTGACACCATTGACATTATAATACTCATGATACCCTAACACTCGTATGTTAGGATATACAACATGAGTGATTTGAGACTGTTTATTGACAATATAATTCTTACTCATATAGATGATCCTATCCTACTGACAACTGTATAATATACACATTAATAAACTGGACGTCAAACATAACCCTACTTTTAGTTTGCGAATCGGAGTACTGCCGTAGTTTAATTTTTGGAGCTGATACCTGACTTTTGAATGATTTAAATTTTTGATGCTTTACTCTTTACATTTTACAAACACATGCATAAGCATATACCAAATATGTGCTAGCTAATATGTTTACAAAACATCTAAAAAGATGAGCAGAAGTTTGTTGTTAACGCCGATGCGCGCTAAGTATGGCTATATATACATAGCTGCTGCTGCTTTAACGCTCTGTTTACAGTCAAGTAGTAGTAAGTCATAAGTAATAATTGTTGTAACTTTTACGGATAAGTATTGTTTTATTTTTCATTCATTTGAATCACAATATATATATTTGCAATAAGTGTATACGCACTCAATAAATTTTGCGAAGTTACAAATCGTTCACTTTTGTCATCGACTATCTTGCCGGCTCCGATACACTTCAGCCGGTGTAGATAGGTTTAAATAAGTACATCTACGTTTTTAAAATTATTGATATTAAATATTTTCAGTAACATATGTATTATGTACATAAAATATTTGAATGCTTATTGATTTTCCTCCTCGAGATCTCTTCGTTCGAAAAAAGTTCGTTTTTTTCGTTCGAATATCCACCACGATTCGAACCTTTCGAAACATCGAACGTTTGTTTGTTGCAGTACGCATCGTCTTGAGATCGGATCACTTTCATCATAAAGAAACATCTAAAATCCCAAACAAGTTTTTCTATCGGGAAGTAACAAAAAAATGTCATTCTCTGAGGAAGAGAAGAATCTGATACTCTGCATCAGCGCATCCGGCATTTCCGCGACGGACGAGAAAAAGTGGCAAGAGCTAGGTGAGATGATGGGCCGCGACTGGATGGAAGTTCGGGATGCCTATCAGCTGCTCGAGTTCAATAATGACGCGATGGACGTCGTCGCCAACGGTATGGATAAGCTGCAGCCCAAGAGTGCCGAGAAGAAGACACAAGAGATCATCAACAATGGCAAGAAGACTGACGATCATTTTGGCAAGGATCTCGAAAATGGAGCTATCAAGGTATATTATAACCAGACTTTGTTTTTTTGATGTATGCTCACAGTATGGGTGTTTATTGGAGAAAATTTGCTATTTTATATTTGATGTGTGTGCTTAATTGCTGCATATATAACAGACCTAAATGAGAAGAAAATATATATTATTATATAGTATCTATGAGTAAATTTGGAGTTACTGAATACAATTTTAAAAAACTTTGGTGATGTCTATGTTACTGATCTTTGTCATGTACCTTTACTCCATGCAGACTAATTAATCTTTCAGGCTGCAGAAGAAGTGATGAATACAGAGAATCTTGAGTACATCGATGACATACAAGAATATGTCCAGATCGATGGGTACGCATCTTACAAATATCATATCTTTGTTTCAATTGTTTGCAGTACAGCATCAGCAGTCAAATGTTTTTACTATATTTTTATTTCAGAGAAATGTTTCAATTGAATGATTTCAACCAGTTTTTATACAGCGACACAGACGTATTGGCTAATATTAATTGTGATGATCAAGCTGTAACGACAGTAAGTAAAAAACGATCAAACAACGAAGAACTTGACGCAAAATTGATAGAGACAATGATAAATCAGTCCGAAGAAGAATTAGAGTTTAAAAGGCAGGAACATGAAAAAAAAATGAAAATTTATGCTATGCATTTACAACATGGCAAAGAGCAACACGAAGAAAAAATGAAAATTCTACGTAGCAAGCTGAGAGTAGTGCAAGAAAAAATATACCACATTGACTATGCCTTGAGCAATAAAAACCTGCACAAAAGATACAGAAGTGGGCCTATTTAGAATGAGTTGTAATCTGATTATTGTGAAAATCAACAAAAATTATACATATGGGCAATCTGACTTAAACTGTGAAAAAAAAATCTTTACATGTGTTGGAAGTAATGTAAATTTTGTACATTTAAAATAAATGGGTAGTGATAATAAAATAAAACGATTTTTTGAGCTATTGAGCTACCTAATTGAAACAATTATTTTACAAGTGTACATCAATTCTATATGAGTACCTATAGTACATACTAAAATTTTTTTTTGTAAGTCTAAACTGATTGGATCAACAATTTTATCTTTTTTTTTTCAATCGTGCAAAAGTCACGTAAATGATAAAAACTGATAGTATCAAATTTAACTTTATCATCGGGAACAGGGACAAAAATGTGCCTCGAGCTCTTTTTAATACCAATTTGCCTGTGAGAAAGTAATCTTGTTGAGACTCGGATAATGAAAAAAAGCTGTTACAATGAAGAAGATTTGGAATTTTTCTTTCATTTGCTGTATTTTCGCGTCGATTTTCCACGAAGGACTTAGCAAACAAGGTATGCATTGTTATTATTTTTTCTTGAGAACACATACATTAAACAACACGTTTTGCTGTCCAGTACGTGTTTTCATTACTAAATCCAAAACCAATGAGTCGACTCTATGCCTATGATCATGAAATACACGTTAACAAATCAAATGTCGCAAATACACAGATAGCTGCTCTATTAGTTACAATAATGGCACGCTTCTGTCACGGAAGATGTGGCGGAGAGGAATCACTTTACCACCTCTCGTCGATACCGTGGGACGGGGTGAAGAGCTATTGGTACTGAAGTATGAGAAAAACATGGCTCTCAACTTCTTGACGTACATCAACGGAAAAGTGCTCGATGATAGAAATTACGTCGTACGCTATGATGATCAATTGGAAAAGAAAATGTACTTCAGTACCCATGATTTCCACGAGTACGAAGAATTTGAGGTGCAACAATATTCCTTTTCATGAAAAATATTCATAAACTGACAAAGCTGTTATTTTTTTCGTTATAGACCCAAGTAAATATGACCATTGGTATTCCCGTCTCTTGTGACGAGAATGACTCCAATTACCCAGACACACTAGTAATCACGATACCCATCACCGACACGAACAATCACGCCCCGGAGTTTCTGAACAAATCTTACGAATACACCCTGGCCATGCCACTGACAAAGGACTTTGACATCACCTCGCTCGGCCAGATAGTAGTCAAGGATATCGACCTGACGAACAAAGACGTGACGTTTACGATCGATCGGCTGGAAAACAAGGACAAGTTTTCCATCACCTTTGTAGAGAAGCACCCGCTGAATTTGAAGCATCACGTGGCCAAATTCGTCACCACCGATTTCGTGAATCTCGATGAAGATGTTACTTTCGCCCTGACTGCTACGGTAAGGGTAGTTTTTTTTCATTTACTCACTTTGTTGTGTACATTGATCGGACGTGTAAATTATTGTTTGCAGGACTCGGGTGATCCTTCGCTGAGCACGAGCGTGAACGTCACTTTGAAAGTCGACAGAGCCAATTCGCAGCTCCGGTTCTCCCAGCCGCTTTACACCGCCGATTTGACCATTTACAACAATCGCAAGGTACGTATGCTTTTTGTTTCTCTGTTTCACCATGAAATAATTCATTTTCAATCGCAGAAGACTCGCATACCACTCAGATTTCCCGAGGGTCACATCGTTTTGACTCATGGCTACAATGGGAATGACGTTGAATTCGAAATGAGCGAGATCGCTGACGGTAACGTGTACAGGTCTTAGTTGTCGATTTTGCGCGATTTGAGGGTCATTTTATTCAAATCATTTCAGAATTCAAAAGACTCTTCAAGTTGACGGTACTTAACGATACACGCGAAGAGGGTAAGCGCGTCGATGTGGAGCTGACGGGCGTGACCGATGACTTTTGGAATCAGAGAGATTTTTTTGTCATTTTGAAGGTGAGCATCCATATGACATAAATGTTTCGCCAAACTGACGGAATCTGATCGATAAATTTTAACGATTTCCAGGCTGTTAAGGGTACCAACGTAGCTACCACCGTACTCTACATTCGTCTGTCAAGTATGTTCTTTCAAACTCCATAGTCAATGTACACAGAAATAAAGTACTTGGTTCGAAAAAAAAAAATACCGATTAATGTGAAAAATATGTCACATGTTTTCAGGTACATCCCTAACGATTTCGAAGCAACATACGTACGTCTACACGGACAGAGTGGCTGTCACTGCTTTTTTCGTCTTTACAGTGCTTGTACTGTGTTATCTCGCTTACTCCATTTTATTCAAGAACAAAACTGTGACCTACGATGTAAACAATCCGGCTTATCTGAACGATGCAAAGATCGCCAAGTATTAAAAATATAATGAATTGTACATTTTTATCGAAAGAATCGCTAATAAAAAGATTGTGCAAACGTCTTTGTGTACTGTGTGCATTTGTTAAGATGAAATTTTATGAAGATCCGATGACTTTTTGCTTTAACAATGTACATAACAGACAACTAGCATATTCTGAATTGTTGAAATTATTGTTGCTTTCACGTTTTCTGTCGTAATAGATCTGTAAACTTGTGATATTTGCTATCTATAATGCATTGGATCACTTTGCCCTAATCCTATATCAGTGTTAAAATGAAACTGTGAAATTCCACCTAATGGCGTTTTTGTAAGAAAAAAAAATTTTTTTCTTCTCAAATAGAAACTTTTAACTTGTAAATAACACCCATGCATCAATAAGGTTAACGTGACAACCATAATGGTAATCATGATATTTTCTTTGTACAAGAATCTTCTTTGTTAAGAAAAAACAAAAACAAATTATCAATCCCTTGATTAATTTTTTTACTTTTTTTGACACTTTTATCCCTTATGTTCGTAAATAATCTTGTCGTGAAAAATGGCACAAAACGAGAAATCCTCATTTTTTGGATATAATAATTGGATCCCTGGATCACATGTATCCCATGCGACTAAAAAAAAAAAAAAAATAAGACAGTTTTCAAGTTTTCCACAGACGTTAGCATCATTTCGGGAATAAAAGATCGACCAAACGGATGGTCTATACTTTTCTGTTCTCCGACACGGAAAATATCAAGGCAACACTACCGTTTAGGAGAATTTCGAGAATTTAATCTTATGAAAGGCTGCCATAATTAATTTAGTACAAATACCTCTATTTTCAATAATTCTTTCTAAGGGTTTTTTTTTGCAAAGATTTAGTAGTTCAGTACAATTATACAATCAAGAATGACAAGGATACAGGCAATCATGTGCACAGAAGCATTCTCTTCAAGCATTATTTATTGAAATACATTTAATCTTGAGGCAAAATTCAAAGCAACTCTTCATTACAACATCCAAACACAATGACATAAAAAACCTCAAAATGTTATAATAAAAGAGTGTTTAAAATTATGAATGAATTTTACTTAGTACAATAGGCCAATGTAGTTCTTACCTGGCGCAGGGATTTCCGTGATCATCACGGCAGATTTCCCGAGGTGAGACTCGATCATTGCACCGAGATCGAGTTGACCCTCGCGAATATCCCTAATGTGGATATCTCGGGCGTATTATTTTTCGTAGTAAAGATAACCGTGAAGAACTGCTACAAAAGCACTAATAGGATCGTCTTATCATACTCTATGGCAGCGTACTTATTATTGAAATTATACTGTTAAGGATTTTCCTAATGATGATGAGCGAACGAAGCGAGGTTGAATGAAAAAAAAAAAAAAAAAAAAAGATTCACAGACCGCGAAACAAAGAGTATTTCTCAGGTTCCAATAATGAAAGCTAACACTCCTTTTTCAAGTACACTCGCTCGCAAACCGTTGATTATACCTAATCAGTGAATAATCCATCGCGGTAGACGCGGCACAAAACAAAACAGAAAAATTAAAACAAAATTAGTTATCGTTTAATAAAATTCTGCAAACTTTGACGTTTTTAACTTTATGAGTTTGCAAAACGCAGATGTGATCAATGCGCACAATCGACAAATAAATTTATAATTTGATCATGATGAAATTAAAATCGATCAATCATTCCGTCAACGAAAGTGATTTTATTAGCTACTTGGCTATTCGAATCGTAATCCATCCTCGCATTTTGTCACGTTCGAGCGACTACGTTATTTGATATGCTTAGAACGCAGCGATTATTTTCATTTATGCACGTCAACAAAAAGGTGAAACTCTTTGAGTTCTATAATCTTGACAATTTTTTTTTTTTTCAAGTCTGACAGCTCATTGTTCAGCTGAAATTACACTTTGAAAAAAAAACATACATATCTAATATAACTAGTTTGGGCACATACGGTAATTTGAAAATTCGAACTAGTGACCTAGCGACGAAAGAAATTTTTTTTTTTTTTTTTGTACATATAAAACGTATATGTTTGAATTAAAAAATCTTAATTGTATCAAGAAACAATCAATAAAAAATAACCATATCATTTGTATCAAATTATCGATCACGGAATAAAAGCATCGCTTAATTACCCGGACGATGAACGATTGAGTATCTTTTTTATGATGCACAATTACGAAAAATACAACATTTGCAACAACAAGCCTGAAATCTTTTATCATTATTAGTGTCGCTTCTAAAACGACGATGGTAATAAATGGGAAAGAAACCTGTACTGAGAAGTAAGACGCGTACCCGCGTCTGGTTAGCAAAAGTATAATTATATAGTTGTATTAGTCACGAATCTTCCCCTTATCAAGGAAAAAAAAAAAAAAAAAAAAACCATCACTCTCATTTTACGTACACCTCCAATGAGATGGTGTATAAGCATATAGAGGGAGAAACAAAGTCAATATACAATACAACTCCAGCTTTCGTGTAATAGTATCTCACCGGCATTCCAGCGCATCTTTATCCTTTTGTCGCGTGCTATTTTTGCAAATGGTCATAATGCAACCATTGCACACACACACACACACACACACACATGTTATACCTATCCTACTTACCTGTCATATCCTTTTCTCTTGCGACACGCGCATCTCTTTCTTATACTTATTGCACTGCACACATGTTGCATATTCAAATCGCTTATGTGTATACCTATGCTCATTACAATGCAAAATGTGCGAGCCTGCATTCCACTCTGTTGACTGTGAATGCATCAGCCATGGGTGCACCGATTCAACAAAACCTATTGTTGATTTTTGTTTTGTTTTTTTTTTTTTTTTTTTTTTCTATCCAACCGAACTTATCGACTTTCGTAAGCAGAATTATAGGTATACGTATCATTTGAACGAGGTGTTTTTTAGTCAAATGCATTTTGTAAAATGATTTATTGGTATTTATAATAATAATGAGATAACACGAGGTATGCTTTCATCCGGAATTTCCCCTTTAATGTGCTTTCTGGAGGTGCGATGGATATTTGATTGTGTATATAATTGCGCCAAGAATGAATTGTATTTGCATATGTGTATACTGTATACGTGGAGGATGCTATTTTAAACACAACGTCTCATCTGCGGAAAAGTAAAAGGTATGTGTACAACGAATGGTACATCTTTATGGTATTCATAGCTAGTTGAGGTATGCAGAAAAAAAAAATTGGGTGCTATAGGTGAATGATCTCTCGACTACCCCAAATCATACAAATACAACTTTCGAGCATATATATATTTTTTTATTATTTTACTGTTTTTTTTTTTTTTTAGAAAAATAATGCTATTATCCAAGTAGCCGGATTTACACTGTTTCTTCACATAAATATAATATGGATGAATATGAACCAAGTAATCTGCAGGTTTTGTCGATTTATGAATTTTTGGATATTTCTCTACTTGACTTTTTTGCAGATTGATAAGCTGCTTCTTGTCGAGTCAAAGCGAGTTTCTATCCACATGATAGAGATATTATTTTGGCGTTACAGAAAGTCAGTCCGGTAAGCTTAAAACGATTTGTTGGATGTAAAATAACTTTAATGTATTGCATGTACATGATACCGATACATTCGACGAGTACCCATACCCGGAGTTACGGGGACACAGAAATCGATATCTGTTTAAAAGGCGTGTAAAATCTTTTCGCTCGATTTAAGAGCATACCATCGATTTAATTATACCGGTATTGAAAAATCGTGCGTACCGAGTAAAAAACAAGTAGACACCCTTTTGACGAAAAATTGTTTCGAATCGTTACATCGGTCCCCGAATTCCACAAGTCTGCGGATCGGTATGGCACGAGGTGCGTGCGATCTCCGCGCCTGCACGCGATCACCGCCGACACGGCAAAGTGTTGTATACTTTATACACGCGACGGGGCTCCCGGAGCGCTCCGCTCACCTTCGCCAACCAAACGGATGATTATTTTTCTCGTCGAGCCAACTTACGCCTCGAAAAACTCGCGCGAAGCGTCAGTAGCGATCGGGACGCGGGGGCACGCTGACTCGTTGCCTTTTTGACACATATACACCGGTTTGCGCGCAATTGTGTACATTTTACTAACGATAGTGCGGCTGTATAGCTGTGTTTTTGTACCGATACTTACAACATATATACTTATAGACCCGCGTTGTTTCGGTCTTTGTTGACCCCCCATGGAATCTGGATGGTATTCGAGCACTTTTCGACTGATGGCTGCTCGATAAAGTATATGGAATAGAGGCAGGTTAGAATTTTCGTGTGTGTGTTAAATTTATTTCCTCGGGTTGTGGCGCGAAGTGGGACCCGCGATTGAATTGTAGTATGGTATTTACGTGTTTTTTAACGATTTTCAAAGCTTTGGTTGTTGCGGGTCGGGATTCTTGCACCTGTACATTTTGATAAATGAATTTTAAATTTTCAAACGTTACAACATAATCCGAAGAAATGATAAGGAACGAACAACAGTTTTTTCGTTTGTTATCGGGCAAAAAGCGTTATCAATTTAAAAAAAAAAAAAAAAAAATTTAGTTAATTAACACAATGCGCTGTTGTGATAACATTGCACAAGAAAAAGTAAAGTTACTTATATTATCATTGTTTATGAAAGAAAGTTCGTTGGGTTGGTAAAACCACGAATTAAACAATGAGACGTTATCCGTGTGTCAATTTGTCGTTTCAATAGATCGTGATCGGCAAATAAATTTGTCAACTTTCAACTTTCCCCTCCTTAAAAGAAAGAGGCTTCAGTTGAGGCTTTTCTCCCGCGTACAGCTTCACTCTCTCTAATTTTCTTTTCTCGTACAAAGATGCCGGTGCTCTTGTACGCTTATACACGCGTCGAGCAATAAATACAAAAATCAAATCGTCAAATGAAGCGAAGAAATTTTTTTTGTAAAACTCGTGCTCGGCAAATAGAGGGCACTCAATTATTAACAGCACGTCACGCGCACAGTAGATATAAATATAGAGAAAAATGAAACGATTTGCAGGCGATAATGACGATGGCGAACAATACAAGTAGGTATGGGTATATACTAGGTGGGCCCGTTCGAACGCACACACTTGCGAATCCGTTCTCTAGCACAATACAATAACCCACGCTCCTGTTCGCTATTGTATTGTACATAGTATATGCCATACCGGTTATGCGACTCGCGAATGTCGACTCGTTTTTTTTTTACTACCTTGAATCTGGTGCATGCACGTGGTGTACCGTTGAAATTTTTTTTTTTCATATTAGTACTGAATCGGAAAACTTGGTTTGATCTATTTTGCGGATCGACGTGAATTTGGTCTACTACCGATGGCAGTGTAGGCGAAGACGGAGTCCGAGCGTTAAAAAACAGAGCAAAGAGGCGTGGACGAAGTATATGGCCTCGACAGGTAATGCAAGCCTGATGTGGTTGACATGTGTGTATATTTATATAATAGTGACGTGTGTGAGATTACGTGTGTCTGTGCCCGAGCGTTCATGCGTATGTGGTGGTGATAGTAAACCGGTATACTTCGCGTATTTTGTTAATTGTTTTTGAAAAAGTGTTGACGCGTCATATCTTTTCAGCGAATAAAACGTGTAGTTTATCATCGAGGACGATTTGAGGTTTTTGTATTGACATTGTTTTTCGTTGGATTCTTGTGAAAAATGATGTTTCAAGTGTAACAAAAATATTAACACGTTGAGGTATATAAATATTATATACGTACACATTTCATAAATCGTTGGATAAAATGACGTCACGTACATGATTTACTATATAATTCATCATGTACTTATCAATTAACCGATCTTGCTTGTGTATTTTTATGAGTTTTTTTTAGTATAGTAAGGATTTATTATTGTAATTGAAGTTGATTTCATGAAATTTTATAAAAAGTGAGTCAACTTGAACCGCAGTACATATAAGCTATTTCGGATATTACGTGATGCACTCGGTATTACAGCTATTTGAGATAAGTAGCGCTAAAGTGTTTTTCAATGAAAAATCATCTACTTTTTTTCTTTAAACTACTAATTACGTGTCTCACGTCATTGTTACTCGACTTGATTTTATCGAAAAATCTATTTCGAGGTACACACGATGTATTATGAAGATGGTTATTTATGATTACGCGTAATTTGTGCGCAATTTCCGCAAAAGTGCTTGACGTATACACGAATAGTATTGGAGAATGACTAATAGCGAACTGATAACTATAATTAATGAAAGGTTTTCATTTTACGCGTTCGAAGTAATTGAAAGACACAGCTCATTAAGCTATTCCTTTACTTATAACTACTCGTACAGGTGTAACAATTCCTTTTGTTTTCTTCAACGCAAGTTTTAGATTTGCTCTTAATTTGCATGGAACTGATGAAAATTCCGTCCAAGAACAGTATACACACGATTCCCGATCTTCCAAGCGTACCGCACATTTTCTCAAAAAATCGGTCACCTCGTCACGCTCGTACACGCCCTTGAAACTCTCGCGCGCGCATAATTAGCCGTAATAACATATGATGGTGATGGCTAATTGAGTGACTCCACATGGTAAAGTTGACGCGTGAAAAATTTCAAAACGCCAATTACTTCCAACACGTGCGCGCCGATCGAAGCGAAATAAGCTGTACCATGTTACGCACGATGACAGGGCAGAGAGAGAGAGAGAGAGAACCGTAAAATCCACGCCCATCGTGCTCTTGATGAGAAGAGAGATATTCTCCTCGCGTTTTATACGTATATACTTATGTAGTACTTATAAGTACATCACTGACTGGCAGCTTCTTGAGCCTCGCCGTTCGTACCTAGCTGTTGATAACAAAGTTGATGGGGCTTTTAACTTCCGCGTCTATTTGATCTCATTTTTGAAGGATGATCGATCGATCGATAAATTTGGTTCGGGGGTATTTTAATGAGCTCCACTGAAAGCTGTTAAATTCCAGCTGCATGTGTCATATAGTAAAAAAAAAAAAAAAAAAAGACAATTCACACGAGCAAAAGCTCGCGAGAACGTACAGTGCATGCGTATATACCTACAGCAAAAAATAAGATGCTCGGTATAAGCTTTGCTGATGGGTAATTACCTACATTTCTTTTTTTTTTTTTTTACAAGTGAGCGCATCGTCGGGCATAACGTGCTTGTGTGCACTGCACCCGCCGCAGCAATTTCAAGCCTATACATCTTCTGTGCACGTATACGTGTAGGCACTGATTTATGTAATAGCCTTTGCGATTGTTTCTTTGTTTTCTCCTCTGGTGGCTCTTTTCTCGAGTTAAAAGCCAGAGGAAGAACCGTCCGGATGTGGGATCGGCTCGTGTTGAATATTTTCCCGCAGATACCGATATCCATACTCGGAAACGTAAACTTTTTTCTTTTTTTTTTTTTTTTTAGTCAGGCTATGTAACGTGTGTTACATCACGATTTATCATATAGAAAAACGCAAGGGTTTGGTTTTCCATGTGTACAAAGGTATACTTCCACTGGGCTGTTGAGATTTTTATTGCCAGTAATTGGATTACAATTGAAACGATCGGTCTTTCAAACGCGGAATCGAGCGCTCATTGAGCACCGATCATTCAGTGGATTATTGAAACTGTGTTACCGATTGCCAGGTGAATCATTGTACCTATACTTTACGTGAATTTTAGGTACACTGTTTTATTCTCTTTGTCAAAATAATGAATTTTTCTATTATGCGCATTGTGCATCAATTGTATCGTGAAGGTATATATAAGCAGGATTAGTTATAGCTGATGGAAATCTGCAGAGGCTCGCCAACCGATTGGGCATGGAATGCGCGTCGAACGGTGCTGCTGTGCTGTATATTATATATATACTTATGTACCTATACCGTTTACGTTTATGTATCCTTTGCTCATAACGGACTCTCCTTCAGCTGCGTATACAATGTAACTATTTGACGTACCTTCCTGTTATCCTGTATCTAAGCTGTGAGTTCGGATTAAGTATATGCATAACTAGATAGTTGGGCGCGAAGTGAATTAACAAGTGCCGATATGTACGGTGGCATGAGATAAGTACTCATTCAGCTGCAGCTTACGTTACATTTGTGACCTTCGCAGTAATCTGTAACGCATTTATATAGGGAATTGGTCTGTATACATTTTTATCGGGCCTTAAAACTCACGCGAAGAAAAATGTACTTGCCATTTATTGAGCAAATGAAAAAAAAAAAAAAAAAAAAGCTTTAGTGTCCCGCGATGCAAACGTATATTAAAAGCTCGAGTTCGCGCGTTTAGCGGAAGGAAATCGATCCGCATGCCACACGTATAATATACTTGAGCAATGTGCGCCAAACTCCCACATTACATCCACAAAGCTTGTCGTCGGCGCGGAGTAAATTATTCAATTTTGCACTCGCTATAGAAAAGTTTAATGCGACTCGGGGCGCGTTTCAAACGTTGCGCGACGTTTATTCGGGGCGTGTGGGTATAATGTATAGCGGTCCCTCGTGCGTTTTGAATGCAGTTGGTTTTACTCATTATCGAGACACATTGATCGTATATAATCACCTATTTATATTGGAGATGTCATTTTTCTATTTTATACTATGTCATTGTAGACGCGGGTGTTATACGTATATATGGTATGCAGTTACTACGTAGTACCGTTGTGATAATCGATGCAGTTGTAACAATAAGTTAGGATTCATTAACGAAGCAGCGTGAAATACCGAAGCGTCTCTCATCACCACGTGTCTACTGTAATAATATAATGAGCATCTACTTACCGCGGTGATGTTAACTTGCGCGTTTCTAATGTTAAGTCAACGACATCTAATACTTTAATGTTACCGTCACTTACCTTTCTGTTTTTTTTTTTTTTTTTTTTCCATAAAACGAGTGTTTTGATTGTTCAAAATTAACGATCAATTGCTCAACAGATTTGTCGTGAAGTACACACTAACGTATTGTAAAATGTAACAATGTCTTTTACTTATTTACCGCAGAAATATTCTTCAGCAGCTGCTCAAGAAGGTACCTTCCAGCCAACAACTACTCTATCCCAATGCGCACCATCTCTTAACGATCTCGATCCATTGTACCTAGAAGTACCTGCCTCCAGTGAAAAACAAAGGCCATGGCGATAGCGAAAATCAAAAGCTTCATAGACACGAGTCTGAAAACCGTGGGGTCGCCGATCGACCGCACGACCACGAGTCTCGAGCCCGAGATCGGTATCAGGATCGTGCACTCGCCCGACGACAAGAGCCTCAGAGTCACGGTACTGGGCGCCAGGCACTTGCCGCAAAACTTTGGCTTCACGCGCGTCAACAGTTACGTCGTCAAGGTAATTTGAGAACATCATTAAAAATCGCACGTGGGAGTCGATTAAAACGCCCTGTTGCACGAATATTAGATAAAATTGATTCCGGGCAAGGACAAGCACGAGACGACTACGCGCAACGAGTCCTGGCCTCAGTGGAACGAGGAATTCGTGTTTCCGCTGCGCAAAGAGACGAAAGTGAAGTTCGGAAAGAACAAAGTCGTCGAGGAGGAGATCGGCGCCTCCAAGTTCGTCGTCGCGACGCTCTACGCCATACTCGAAGATAAGCCGCTCATTGCCACCGACAAGAAGGAAAATGAAAAAGACAAAGGTGCGTGTGTGCATATTTAATATATAATACGTGACATAGTTTTTGGAATATGTATATTTAAGAGTATTGTGTTGAAAATACGAAAAACAAAACCCGCGGTTCGATAAACTACATTTAATCGATGCAAATGAATCAAAAGCCAACACAGGCGCGGGTCGAGACAAAAAAGACGGGGGCAAAAAAAAGGACGCCAAGCAGCAGCAAGACCCCAGTAGTTGCCAATCGGCTTCGACAATGCAGTCGAAGGGAGCGTCGAAGCTGCTGAACCAGTTCTTTGGCAAAGGGTCGGACAAGATCGGCGAGCCGGCCGGTCAGGAATCGGCGCGCAAAGCCTTCGAAAAGAGACGCACGATCGGCGCCACTTCGATTCCCCTCGACCCGAGGAACTTCACCAGCAAACCCGTCAAGCCGAAACATCCGCAGGACGTGTCCACGGGGGACATGTGGAGGACCCTCAAGCCAATATCGAGCGGGATTTCAGGGGCCGAGGAGAGGGTACGTACAAATTAATTGATCCCTGGCGTGTGGGGCTTTGTACGTGTACGTTGGGCGTGACGTGACTACTTGGCGAGCAGTAGGGGCTTAAAATCTAATTGACTCAATTGGTATTAAAACGACGTTGCTCGAGAAGGAGGGGGGGGAGCTGATTCGTTTATTGGAAGTTAAAATTCTCCTCCCACCCTATACATTGTCCGTATCCTCGATCTTTTTTCTTTCCTTCTCTAAACTGTTTGTTACTTCGGGCCTTTTTAACATGCATTGTTTCCCAACGCCCCGAAGACGTACCTGTGTATAAGGTTTAATTTATTTCCACCGCGAATGAATTAAAAATCCATTACACACAAAATTGGTTTTTCCCATAATCAATACGTGATAAGAAAAATAATGTGACGAGATAGAAAAAAACGCCCCAACAACATACCGCAAGTGAATAAAAATGTCATTGCCCCTTTTCACAGCGTGAAAACAAAAAGGGCCAAGTGGAGTTGTCGCTGTGCCAAGAGAAGCGGGAAGCCGGCAATGGCCGACTCGTCCTGACGATGCACCGGCTACGCTGCTCGCTGCAATCGATGCAAGAGCACGAGGCCCTCAAGGGCCACATGTATATAAAAATGTCGGTGGTGGACACCGGCCGGGTCACCTACTTCTGGAAGAGCGATCGTTTCGCGCCCTGTGTCAGCATGAAGTTCGACCCGGGCCGCGCACAGGTCATGATCGACAATCCGTACGAGGGGGCGCTCAAGGACGTGTGCTTCGTTGTCAAGTTCGTTGCCAAAAATAAGATCGGTAAAGTATTTTTTTTTTTCTTTTTTTCCGACATCGATGAATGAAGTGTCGGTGGAATTGATTTTCTCCTTCTTTTAGGGAAAAAGGTGACAGTTGGACACTTTGTGATCGGGCCAGAGGTCGGTGGACCCTACAGCGAAATGTGGAAACAAGCTTTGGCGAAACCGGGGCAGCAAGTCTCGAAGTGGTTGTGTTTCGAGTAGCAGTGCTGGCAGATCTGATGAGAAATTACCTTTTCTTCTTTGTTTTATAACAACTATCGTACAACTGTTATTGTATATAAATTGTTGACACGGGGCATGAAAACGAACGATTTGTACCTTAATGTTTTGTACAAAAACTAGGATTTACGGTGAGGCGTATCGTGTTGTGTGTAACCGTCCATTATTGCGTAGATGAAGTGTCATTGTATAGATACACGAAAAAAGTCGGAGTTTGATCTGCGAGATGATAAATCTTTTCTTTTTAACGTCTATGTACAAATGTATATCGATTTCAAGATTTTTAGAGTTGTGACACGAGGATTTGAATTTCACGTTTAATACTTTGTAAAATAGTATGTTTGTACAATGTAAGCACTTGTAATTTAATATTATTTTTTTTACTTATACTTAAATTTCCACCATACATATAATGTCATGTCAAAATACCACTGTTTCTTTTTCTTTACACATTTTTTATACAGCAAATAAATAGTTACGTCAACTTATCCAATTCAAAGATTTTGTTTACAAACCGATTAATTTTACTATTCAAATTATTTTTTTTTATTTTTCTTTCGGTGTAAGAATGTGAATTTTTTCTCTAATTGGGAAGGTTTTGTATTAAAAATACATCGTGTATATCAAATACTTTTTAATCGTAATGTGAAAAATCTTATAAAAATTATCTTTCATAAAGATATATTAGCATTTATCTACAAAGCCCAAAAAGGTTTTGTTGAAAACTTTTTAACAATTATTTTATAAATTCATGTTTATCTTATGAAAATACAGAAAAATTTATGATTCATTATTTATACTATGCTAGTATACTCTGGACGGTATTGGCAGTCTTCTTTGCTATATTCTTATTGTACTAAACGTATTGTACAAAGGCAATTTAATATTGCTTAATATTTGAAAAAAATCTTTAAGCATTAGTGCGTTTTAATAATATAAAAGTATCTCATTTCTAATTAAAAAAAAGCATATGCTTTTGAAAAATATTTCAAAAGTTTGATCGATTAAACGTATTCTAAGAGCGATTGTAGCAAAAAACTGCAATCATCATTTCAGATCTAATTGGCGCCGTAAGAATGAAATTTTGTCATAAAGAAAAATTATCAAGTTCTAAAAAACATTTTAATGACTACTAAGGCTGTTCCACCAAATAGAAGGAACATGTTCCATCGCTGACCAGAAGCTGTGTTGCAGCCATCTTTGCTATTGCAAGTGCAATATTCAATAAATATATTATAGGTACCTGTCCTCATCAAACAAAATCTTTCATCTCCTCCTATTCCAGGTTCACCCATGAATGCACAGCTACGAAAGTATCGCCATTCTCCATTAACTATCAAATTAAAACAAAATTACCGAAACGTTATTCATTTATAAAACACAATTAAATAATGTTTATTCACTGTGAAATACATGTCATTTGCATGTTTTATTTTTAATTCACTCAGCAAAATTATATAAACAAAGTTTTTTTCAAGATTCTCACCTTTTTGACGAATTTTCCTACACATTGTGGATTTGGCGTCGGGCAGATGTGATAGTGATTTTTCGTTTGCGCAATCGGAAATGGGAAAAGACGTGTTGTCGAACGGATCAGCGCATTTGGGATCGGTATCCGATCTGCATTTCCAGCACTTTATTGAGAGACCTGCGTATAATGTTGTATTTTTTGGTTAGAAATGACCATTACGTTAGAATGAGATTCAAAAAACAAACTATTGTTTTCCCAAAACATTCTCAATGATTTATTTATTGACTTTTTTCACTAAAATGATCACTAAATTAAAAAATTTGTTGAAATAATTGCGTTCCAATCTACAGCACATAATTATTTACATCGCGTTATTCTGTAAACTTCACTGACCTTTCCCAACAAAGAAGACAAACAGCACGATGGCCACTAGTTGTACGATGGTAATTTGTTTCAAGGACATTTTATCTGTTAAGCGGAAATTATTTAAAAACTTAAACTTAAAACAAACTTATTGTAATGGCACGCAACGCGACTACGTCGTCAACGCCAACTTCGCCAACGCCTACTATCAACACACAGACACACCACACCCATGAACCTAGTCCTATGCTGTTAAACATCAAGCGCATACAGAGTACAGATACAGCTTTATTGCATTATGTATAGTATATCGCCTTATATATATTTGCATACATCTATATACACGGGCAATAATAACAACAAAACTTTTCAAAGTTAAATAAAAAATTCATTTATATAGGTACTCTTATACACAACTCAAAATGTGGAAAAATCATATTTTCATGTTTTGTCTAATATGAAAAAAATTAACTGTCTTCATGGAGTAGGTACATGTATGTATTTTACATTAGTATTTAATGATAACATTGGAATATAGCGCCAGTTTAATTCAAGGTAGTTGACTTACCGACCTGACGGTAACGTAGAGCGCAAATTTAAATTACTCTGGTGACGATTTCGGAAAACACCCCAAGCGGCGTTACCACCATACGTACAACTTTATAGCCTCTGATTTTATCATTCTGGTAAAGAGAGCACGGTGTAACTTACACCGTGTAAGATGTACGTGAAGTTATGTGTAGTAATTAAAGTAATTACTACTATGATGGTTTTGGAGGTCAATTTTCGGATAAAAGATTAATTGTAAACTTGCCGCAAGTAACACAAAAAATGTTAACTTTTTATTATCTATCTATAAAATTTGTTGTGGCTGGTTTATACATGGTGGCTGGTTTGAATACATGGCTCTACTGTAAGTATTGTAATAATTATTTGGATCAGCGCCATCTAGCAGTCTATATTTTTTGGCCAAAAGTGGCTCCTAAAATTCTAAATCAGAGCATTCAGGATTAGAGCCATTTAATCAATTATAAACCAGCCGCAACTTATGACAAAGCTATAAAATAAAAAAATAACGATACATATGTTTTTGGCGGCAAGTTAACAATTTATCTTATGCTTGAAAATTTATCTTTAAAAGTATAAACACATAGGAGGTCAATTTTATGGTAGAAAATAAATTGTTAACTTGCCGCCAAAAACACATATATCGTTATTTTTTTATTTTATAGCTTCATCATAAGTTGTGGCTGGTTTATAACTGACTAAATGGCTCTACGAGCTTAAGCTCTGGTTCAAAAGTTTAGGGCCACTTTTTGGTTCAGAAATCCGGAACGCTAGATGGCGCTGATCCGAATAATTATTACTTCTTATATTAGAGCTATTTAATCAATTATAAACCAGCCGCAACTAATTCTATAAATAGAAAATGTATTTTTAATATTGTTTGTGCTGTTTGCGGCAAGTTTACAATTTTTACTTTATCCGAAAATCGACTTCCAAAATTATAAATAAATAAGAAGTCGATGCTAGCAAATAGCATAAATGTGATATTTTGAATTTTTGAGTTTTGCAAAGGTGCCAAAGGCCAAAGGGTCAAAGAAAGGTCTTTTTCGTGCATGCGCTACAAACATATATGAATATTTTGAAAATTGAGATTATTGAAAATTTCAGCAGTGCCGTTTGCCGATCTGTGCCGATACAGCAGGGATCCAACAATTGCAGCAAGTTCATTGTGTTTATATACTTTATACACATACATACGTTGCATGTAAACACGCCTTGTACAAATATAACCTCATAGTGACATCGTCCTCATAAAAATATATCGTGATCCTCGTCGAAGACGACGTCGGACCGGTTGGACGTCTGCCCAGCGACCTGGACGAGGCTGCAAGTGCTGTGTTACAGTTGCACTTCACGGACGTTACTTCGCGTTAACCATCAATCCCACAGTGCAACAATGAAAACGAACTGTGGTCATCAGTGAAGACCACCGATTGTCTTGATTGTTTGCCTTCTATACCCATAGGCACGATCATGCTGTCAATTATGCTCCGGCTACGACTCTGCATCTCCTTGTCACGAACACCTCGTCGTTATGGGCACACCGGATACGCCTGGCCACCCCGAGCCTTTGGTCCCATCGAGCCGGGTCCACCCATCGAGCCGTCGCACATTCGAGGCGAGGGAAAATTCTTGTTCCCGGAGTCGCTGAAAAAGCAGTACGGAGGCGAGTTTGAGATGCCACCCGTCAAAGATCTCTCCAGGGCGGCTATACGAGTACGACGGCGCAAACGCTGGCACGACACCGTTGAGAAACTGCGGACCGTCGAGGAAAAAATCTTTGAACTTAATATGCCTAAATACTATGGCTGGATGCCCTATATCATCAGAGAGGGCGATCTCACTTATGATCCTCTGCCTAAAATTCAATACATGACGAGAACGTGTGTGATGAAACAGCTTGGCCTGCCCAGTTATTACGACAGTTTACTCGGTGAAGAGGAGCTCAATGCAACTGTACAACGTATCAAGGGGCAGATCGAGGAAGCTTTGGTGTTAGAGTACACTGGCATTGAGTAAGTATTTGGAGATTTACAACAAGCATGTTGTTGCATACTATTAACGATTTTTTCATTTGTCGTATTTTTTTGCAGTCAAAATTACCAGCTTACTGAAAATGAGCTCGAAGATGAAGTTTTCATGACGAATTTAAGGGCGAAAGCTGTCAGTAAGCATATCAATAGGATATTTATAAATCATCTCAGCAGAAAATATCATCATTTACTGGAAGCTGAAGTCGACTTTGATCCAAGGTTGGAGGCTTTTTGGTTTTTTGGTGGATTTCAACCTCCTCCAGAAAGCGTCAGAGCCAGAGATGGCAATGACTTTGTAAGAATGTTTAAAGATGAACCTGTAAATCAACCACTACAATATTATGGCACTCCAATGATCCACGTCAGACATAATTTGCCTTTAAAAGAGTTTATGTCACTGGAAGAGTCACACGATTTTAGACTCGAAATTCCTTATGAACCATATGATCTTAGAACAGAGGGATATTTCAGGGATTTGAAAAGAGCTACCGTTATACCTGGTTTTTGGCCTGGTGATCAAAGTGAATTTGGTTTTATATCATACAACAGTTCAGCTCACTTAGCAGGGAGACCTAAGCATATGAATGATAATGCAGATGCTTTAACAGGTCAGGCTATCTTGGGTTCCTACAGTTGGCTTTATGGACAAGCTTGTTATCAAGGTAAGACTTGAGTTTCTATCAAAATCGCTTATTTTTTCGTGTCAATGCATTGGTAATTTTTTTATCTTCTTTCAGGATTTTCAACTTTCCAAGATCCTACTTATCCTCTGGTCAATCAAACGATCATTACCAATGGTCAATTTTGGACTTTCTCTGTCTATCAACTAAACACAACAACAATGCATATGGATGCCATCAATGTCAATAAAAAAAGTAATTTATGCTGGATGACTGACTCTATGAAATTGTTTGACAATATTGAAAATGGAAAGGTACAGGGCTTGAATGAAGATGTTCTGAAGCATCTAGTCAAATTTTATTCAAATGTCCCACAAGTTAGAGAAAGTGTCGACATGAAGCCTCTTTTGGGTAGTGAACAACTTGTTGCTAACATTGAAGATCCTGAGAGGCGTAGTTGGCTAGAGGATCACTACAAACATCTTATGTCAAATAGAAAACGGCATAGGTAAGTGTAATTTTTAGAATACATGATACTCTGCACTATTCCCTAATTAAATTAAAAAAACCAAATGTTCACCTGAAACTAATATCATATTTATTACCAACAAATGAGTTACACAAAGAAATTTAAATGTTTATGATTTTTTCAGACCAATGCCTGAAATCAAGGACTGGCAGAGAATTTACATGATTAAATTCAATACTCGACCATTGGATAAAAAACGTGATCCATGGGAATTTGGTAAAAATCCACACTATCGAAGATTGGATGATCACGCTTTTGAATATATTCCTAGATGTCTTAGGACGCACCATAGAAGCAGGGATAAGTTTAAGAAGGTTTATTATCCCAAAGTTCCAGAAAGTGAATTGGAGGAATTGGAGTAATGTAAGATATTGAAAATACATACATGTACATACACTCTTTAACATACAATTTCTTGTATAAGAAATCAGAACGATAATTTTACGAAGATTTATACAATTAAATATTTGTTGCGTTTCATTGTGGGCTTTTCATTTCGAATTCTCATGTAGATACGACTCAAAAAAATACATCACTCTCATTACTGTCATTATTTGCTGAAGTTACTAAAAAATCAAAACGTTGAAGCAGCCCTAAACCATCTTGTATATACAAACCTATGCAAGAGGAGTAAAAGAGATAAGCCCTGAATGTGGTAAAGCCAATCGGGAGCGCGCTTACACGTACATAAATCTGACATCCAACACGCTATATCTCTCACCCCTTGATCCACTGTAATCGAGACTTGAACTGAGTGTTGTAGGGTGTCAAGTTCGGCTCTCCCTTTGCAATATTTCTCCGTGTTTTCTTCTACTCGCAACGTATCAACATTTTTTTCATTACAATACTACTTTTCAAAAAGTCCTGCTGATCATTAAAAAACAAGGCCACGTAAGTCTGATACATGATATAATCATTTAAAATTATACCCAAAGTATAACACTTCAGAATATAATACGTGTAGTGGGTTGATAAGTAGTATAAGTCCGGGTCGCGTCAGACGGCCTATCAATGTTAACTACTTATTGACATATACGCATGTAGGCTTATCTTTTCTGATAAATGAATATCTACCCGTAAAGTCCTACACGTCAGAACCTACTAAAAATATAAATATGAAAATTTTTTTACACGAGTGATCAAACATGTTACTATATACAAAAATGTGAACCATCTTAGCTTTTTTTTTTCTACATAAAACCACTGAAAGTACGCGTTCTCTGCTCACAACTACTTAAAAATCTTTTGTATGTGTACACATACGTAACAAAAAGCCAATGTCAGTTTATGTGCTCACACGCACACACACACACACACACACACACACGTACAAACGCGGTAGCGTGCGAAAGATACTTTACTCGGTGACCTTGAAATCTTCCCACCTTATACACACATATGTGTAACAACAAACATAGATAGAGAGCCGCTCTCCCACAACGACGACTTCTTCCACTTCCCACTTGTATACAATCTACATCTGACTATGCGCAGAGACCGGCGAGGGGCTCGAGCACCACCCACTACACCCCCTTTCCCTTTGGCAGGTACTCCCCAGAGTTACGTTTCCATACACCTCGGTCAGTTCGTCCACGGAGACGAGACTGCAAAGTGTATACACAGTTGCTTTTAAGATATCCCGCTTTTATATTTGTCCTCCGCTTGTTATTCCTTTGCAATTACCCCGTTGCTGTACTTTCCTCCTTTTTAGTAACTCATTGTACACATAAGTGCGGATCTCACACCAAAGGTCCGGCTCCGATTTTCCGGTGCGTCCCAACGGGGGGTGGGGGGGTGTGTAGTCGGGGACGTTGACTAAGACTAATACTGTACGTGATATAATTTGGTAGGGTACAGGCATATATGTAATCGCGAGCCGAGGGTGGAGCGAAAATTTCGGCTCAGCTCTGTAAATCGATATGAAGTATGTGTACGTATCAATGTTTGTGCGTGATCGCAGTGAAAGGTTGACGAGATTGTAAGATAACGCCGCTCGAGTGGTAAATTTTAATTAACAAGAGGACAAATAGCTGCGGTTCGTGAAAGAAGGATTAAGAAGATCGAAAGGTTTGTTTGACATTGTTATTTTTTTTGTTTTGGGTTATTGTTGACTTTTTTTTTTTCCAAAGAAAAACAACAAGTTAGTAAGTTACTTAAAGAACAAGTACTTTATTAGTGCCGGAAGAGGAGAAAATACGTAAGGTTAGCCAGCGGCACTGCGGCTATAGAGTTTCTCGAACTGTTGCTCTCCTTCGATTGGGGATATTGATTTCTTGGAAAATATTGAATTTTTCATATCAGACGTTTCTTTATTACATTATGTTTATCAAGTAAAGGAGTAAAAACTATATATAAAGTTCAATACAACCGGATAAATGAAGAAAAGCTCATCGTAACTTTGAATGAGCCGTAAGAGACATCTTGAACGTTATTTGTACGTTTCAGTCGAACCTTAACAATAATAAATAAACACCCTGGGCCTCGAGGTGCTCATAAATCTTCGTATTACATTAAAGGTCCATTAGCGCCCGTAACTCTATGCGATACCTACATAACGAGTCGACCGGGACTCGTTATTGACTTGAGCAGGCTGTACGTCCTATCTTTTCCCAGATCTCTGATTACACACGTATAGCCACCTTATCTTCAATACCTTCCAAAAGGGCGCACTTAGACGCGTGTACGTTATTTTTGCGTAAGCTCTAAACCTATACCGCATTGGGGGTGAAAAATCATTTTCTCATCTCGCGTATGAAATTCAGAAGCAAGTTGAAGAAGAAAAACAAACAGACAAACAAGAAAACACTATCTCACAAGTAGTTACCTCCCCGTGCGCACGAGAAGCTGTAAAAGGCTCGCCATATGGCCATATACGAGCACAAGTTGGAAGGTACATACGGATAGAGCGTCGCCCACGCGCTTCAGCTTTCCTCTCCCTACACCCGCATACGCGTCTATTTCACTCTATGTACGTCAGCACATACACGTATACACTTGCATCAGAGGGAGTGGTATATATATATACGCACATTCGGCACGTGTGAGAACTTGCATGCGGAGAGAATTTTTCAACGCATCGAGGTACGTGTACCTTACGTACATATACGTGCACGCAATGGAAGGCTACAATAGGGGAGCGCGTGACGTGAATCGCACATATCTTGGCGTAAGCAATTTTCCGGCGAATAAAGGACGGGAAGGAAAAAAAGTTTTCGCGATCCACCGCATACCTAATGTTATGAGGGGCGAGTGTGAATAAAATGAAATATCGAAAGTACCAGAGATGGAGGGTATAGCGAGCGAATGGAGAAAACAAGGACCGTAAGGGGAGAGAAGACGGTGGATCTTGGACTGTAGGGCTCAGCGACAATACACCCACAGCCAGTTCCTTTATCCTCATTTTCTCATGTTAGCTGCCTCGTATCGTGAGATTGACGAAACAGCCGGGGCTTATGCGCACACGAGTAATGCTGTTAACGTGTAAGAGTGTGCGTGTGTACGAGCGCCTGCGTGTTTTCGGCAAAAAAAAAAAATCCAGGACTCGGTCCTCGATTTTTTCTTGGTTCTCGTGGATATACGCTGGTGCTTGATGCTTCGATGAGTCGCTGAGGGCTGTGTGTGTCTATAGGTACGGGAAAGAATAATTTCTTCGGTGACGAAAGCTTATTGGAGTTTTTTTTTTTCTTTCCCCGCTACTTGGTAATTTCGGTAATCTGAGATTGAACGAGATCGAGCTGATCGAATTCTTCCGCGATGTATAATGAAACTGCGACCAGACGAGCAAGTAGTGCTAGCCGTGTTTGGTCAGACCAACAAATTTAATGTCTACAAAGACAATTGCACCCCTAGCTCAGTTTTTAAACTTGAAATAATTATGTATGCGTATATTTTTTATAGAAGGAATTTTCTATACAAATACTTCATTGAAACCTAATGATCAAATAACTAGACAAATGTTAAAGTATATATTCTGTGTCACGGTGGTACTGTATGTGGTGTAAGAGAATTGGGAGAATAGGCTAATGAATGGGCATCTTCCTGATATTTTATAGATAATAATGTTATCTTGCTATTTTAAACCGATGCAGATTACGTTATTCTCGAATACAGAGAGAGCAAGTAGTACATATCGTGTTTGGTCAGACGAGCAAGTTTTAAAATACGCGAAGGCAATCGTAAACTTATCATTCATTTTTTTAACTGAAAACATTATTAACATGTGATTTAAAAAAGAAACGATTCGCTCGGACTTAAAGATAACATAAATAATTAAAATTACTTGAATGGTAAAATATAGATTTAATTGAATCCTTTCGCAATGATAATACCGTGTTGTTGGCTTGTTACGTGTTCTTTGAGAGATGGAAGAATATTATAATGAAACAGTGTCGTCTTTGATCTTTGTGGATAATGATGCGATGAAAAATTTTTTCCCCACTTCAACAGATTTTGCATTGGCTAAAATGACAAGCAAGTAGTACAGATCGTGTTTGGTCAGACGAGCGTATTTTAAAATCCGATAAGGCAATTCTTCCTACTCGCTTTTTAAACTTGTAAAATACCCAATCACAAATGTATCATTGAAAACCAATCTGCGTCACATAAAAAAATCGGCTGCTTAATCAATCAATCATTTTTTATCACCTCCGCATAGAGCAACTGAAATGGAGCATCGTGCCAGTCGCGCGATACGAATAGCCTGACGTAATTTTTTGCATCGAGAAAAAATAAAGGAAACAGCACTCAAGGAAATTGAATCATCAGACGTTCAATTGCGAGTACTTACATCGATTGTATATTATCTTGGAGCAAGAGAGTACACCAACCACAGATACACTCGTGCGAAGCTCTTCGTGTCCAACTTTCAAAACTATGTACGGAACGACCCTGTTTTCGGAGTAAATATGTCAGCATACCTATGCCAATACGACAGCGAGTCCTATGCAAAAAAGTCCATTTATTAAACTTTGTAAATGACAAAAACTTTCCATTACAAGTATCGTTCATTATACTCGTACAACGCGCAAGACCAAAATAAATCCATCACCTGCATATTGATATTATGAACGCGTCAATGGTTACGGCTCCATCTCGCACTTTGCGCAATTAGTTGGCAAACTGAATCGCGTCACTTAGTTCGGTAAGCTTGTAGCCGACTGCGTTAATTAACTCAAGTACAATTTCACCGGCGCACTTTGAGACTCGACGCGATCCGGGTTGATGGAACGTTGCGTAAAGGTGCCGACGGTGCGCTTGGCTGCGTTAGTCGCACTTTTAGATTACCTAACTTTTCGGTGGACTAGTATACAAATATTGTCGTGTGCAACGTGAGCTTTTAATTTTATACCAATCATGTTAATAAGCCTTTTTTTCATTTTGAAGCTTTCATTTTGGAAGTTAATAAATTCTCGCTGAGAATTTTAATCTCCATGATGAGTAGTAGTTTTTTAAATGTCTACTTAGAAAAAGTAGTTTTTGTTGTTGTTATTATTATTATTACTACTCAAAGGTAAAAATACGCATGTTATCCAATTTAAAAACACTTGAACCTAGTCGACGATGAAAGTTAAAAGATCTTTTAATCGCAAAGAAAAAAAAGACACTTAAAATCATCATAGTACCATTCCTCCCATGCAAATCCTTTTAAAAGGATCCAAAGGTAGGTCTACGAGTGCGTATACCTGTAGACCTTTGTCATTAAAAGCGATTCCCTGAGATACAAAAACCCACGCGAGTTAAACGTAGACGAATACAGGTAAGCCTCACGTTCCAATCCTATTGTCGAAAAAAAGCAAAGCAATTGTCCCGTTGGCTACGCATCAGCGGAAAAAAACCCCCAGCGAATAACACGCGTGAAAGACCGATTCGGATTCATCGGGCTTTTTATGACTCGCTTACTTTTCTTTCTCTCGCAATTTAATTCAATCTGGCTCCAGTCTGGGGTCTGAGACGCGCTGTCGCGTTATAAATGCAAAAGTTCTGTCTCTACTCGAGTGGAAAGAACGGGTTGCGAGACAACATATACGTTGACGGGCACGCTGGGATGAAAAGGAGCTTTCCATGTAGTACTTGTATTTTGTCGAAGTCGTGCATGTGGAAAATAATATGGCGTGTGTATGCACGTTGACTCCTCGGCTTTACCTGAAGCCCCACGTGAATTTTTTAATGGTGACCGATGATACCAGAGGCACTGGATGCGCATATTGTACACAAGGGAGGAAAAAAGCGGGTCACGTTTAACTTGAAAAAACGCCTCGCAGTCTTTTCTTTTTCCATCCTTGCTTTGTGTTTTTTCTTCTTTTTTTGTTAAAAGTGTGAACATAGTCATATTTCGTGACATTAAGTACGTAGAAAAACGCGTGAAAGAGTGTGTTACGCAGTTACCCGGTCGATGGGCTATTTTCGCTCATCTGGGTATCTATGTCTGCGCAAATGAGCAAATTCTGTTTTATCCCGGACGATTAATCGAGCTGTGACTTTAACGCTAATATTATATTCTCTTATACAACCGAAAGAAGGAAATAATAAAAAAAGTGAACATCGAAAAATCTTGGCCATCCGATGAATATGTTGCGTAAGAGCGTATACTTGTGTGAATTTTGATAATTTCGTACGTATATTTTGAAGTGCATTTGTTTATTCACCACTCGAGCACGGGCTCGAAACTTTTTTAACTCTGGCAGAGAGAGCCCCCATGCGATCACCAAGTATGTTTAATTCTTCTATACCCATGCACATTTTGAACATTAAATTCATTCACGTGGATTTAATTGGATTCGTCAAATAACGAGCAAACCCATCTTTTTTTTTTAACAACCCTTAGAAAAGCAATGCAAGGCGCTCTCGTCTCCCAACTGAATAGACTTTGCTCATTAGTCAATGTTGGTGATGGCTTACTCGTTTTAATAAGTGGGCGCTTGAAATATCGATTCGCCCTACAAGTGCTAGGATTCTACCGATGTTTCGTAGGAAAATACACGTTTCCGATAAATCTATCGAAGCATCGCAAGGACACTCTTATTTAAAGCTTCTTGGCTCAATGCCTCTTCTGTCACGAGATAAGAAAAACTCTCAAACAATTTTCAACTATTCATACCCTCTCACCCGTTGCTCATACTTATATTTTAACTAGCAAAAAAAAATTACAGAGTGTTATTTCCAGTTTTTTTTTGTTTGTAATTACAGCTACATGCGCTCGTGATCCATTAAAGTCTGAGGTAATACAGGTGTATGTTTTATTTCATCCAATTATAGTTTAATACCGTCGTAAAAACCATGGATGCTCATCGACGCGACGGGGTAATAAAAACCCCATCCACATCCATCGGTAAACCGACGATGAAGAGCAGGGAAAAAAAGACATTGCGGATAAAAACATCCTCGTATAAAAAACTACTCTGAATTTTATCAAGCGTATGGATGAAATAAATCCCCTTTTATGCGGCTAAGCGCAAAAGTTGGAATAAAAGAAAAAAAAAAAAAAAAAAAAAGAAATCGACGAGTGCATTTCTCATTTGCTCTCTTTTCTCTCCCGAGCTGTAGTTTTATTATTATTATTATCCGTCCAGACGAACGAGCCGGCAAACGAGAATCGATCCCCATACGGGATCATCCTTTTCAACATCGTTTCTGCTCCAGACGTTTAGTATTTTTTTTTTTTTTACATACTTTTTTTTTCGTTGTATAGAGAGCGTTGATGCACAAACACACATGCTTTCCTTTACTAAACTAAAAATTAAGTTAAATGAGGATACATATATATATCTTGGCTACTAAATGATAAATAAATTATTTTGCTATAGAACAATAAAAAATGACAGGTAAAAATTTTATCTTTGATTCCCCGTGATAGTTTAAATGTGTAGTATGAAATTGTCTAACATGAATATTCGTTTCGATATATCAATGTGAATCTCGCACCCAACATACTGCCATTACGAGTTTCAGTGCAGTAGGTAACGTCCTTATAATCAACTGCACTGGGGGTGAGTTAATCAGCGACCGAAGCAATTAATATCAAAATGGAACGAGACAAATTGGAAATGACATAACGTTGTAGGTACTTGATGGCTTTGCGGAAATTGCTAGCTGCAACTGTATAGGTACCGCATAGGTACATCAACTGTGGGGAGAATATCGTCTACCAATTTCTACACCAATGTTTTTTACTTTATTCTTTAAAAAAAATAACTCTTGAGAGTTGTTATTTTTATTTTGCAATCAACGAGCTTCTCGATTAAACGTGAGTCTACGGGGAAGCCGAGTTGGTGACGTATGAAGTGGTTAATAGCATTCGTGTGATGTGCCTTAATTATAGCGACCAATTGTCGTACTCAATTCACGCTTAGAATCGAATTTGAATTAGATGCCTGACTATGGAATTTTGAAACACGTACATTTTGTCTTTGACTCTTTTTATTGCAATTAACAAGTGATATACCATTTTAAAATCGATTTCAATATCAAGCAACATTTGTCAAATATTTTTTTTTTACTCGTGTGAATGAATGTAAATGAAATTTTTAGAAAAAACATATACATAATATTGTGTATACTCACACTGTATTATTTTTTCCTTAGTTATAACTTGATAATTATTTATTTAGGTATATTGATTGAATATCACGAGTATCTACGTCCAGCGCACATAAATAGGCACATTATTATTAAGCATGATGGGTTGTACTAAAAACAAGTGGCTTAATACAAACGAAAATTATTTTGCTTCACAGGTATACTGATTGTGCACAAAATGTACTAATCAATGATAAAATTTACACGATTCTTACGTGCACCGGACACGTGGTGTCCAAAACGTTATACAACAATCTATTACTGTCATCCACATGTCATCGTAGATTTTATCACTGGATCAAACGTCCGAATAGAAAAAAAAAAAAATCGTCGATAAATGTTTCAAAATAGAAAATGAAAATAATCTAGTGTAGATCAGACTAACGAAAAACTGTGAATACGCATCGTGGCACCTACACGCGACCATATTGTCGTACGTTTTAATTAAACTCTTGTATTCTCAATTAAAAAAAAACAGTCCAACTAATTGCCACTACTACCATCCACACAGAGTAACTCAATTTACTCGAAAGAGAGTTTTGATCGATTTTTCAAACACGCAACCAGGAAATGAGATTGTTTTTTTTTTTTTTTTTTTAATATACAGTTCTTTTTTTCCTTCACGCAAAATCAGCGGTAATGGAAGAGCTGGAGAGCTCGAAAGCAGCCCGAGAGCTTCGACCGTACAGCCGATAAGAGGTATACCAAATCAAGAAGGTGCTCGCCGCAGCCATGATGGACCTAGAGCCAAGGAGGCCGGAGATCCTGGCTGTCATGTTGGCCGTGGGCGCTACCACCGGCGCCGTCATGGCGGTGATCGTCTACGCCCTCTGCGCGCGGCGACGCAACGTCTCGCTCAACTGGTGAGCTGATTTATCATTTTTATCAACTGGTACATGTAAATAAATCACTGGTATACGGGTTCACGTGATAAAGGTCAGTCTTCGGTCCAACTGATTATTTTTTTATTTATTTTTTTTTTTTTCAACACTATGACGGTACATATACTTGAATGATTTGCGGGCCCACTGCACCGCATCAAATTGGATATTTTTATCTCGCGAGAGGATTCATGGTGTACGTGTTTCGTTATTGCGCGTTAATAGGTCGAGCAGCGTTGCGTAACGCTGCACGCTGCAAATGCAATTAAACGGGAAAAGCAATTTACGGAAGATTTTGATGAACGGAAGGGGAAACTTTGCCATTACGTTAGACGTGCACACGAGAACGTATATATACCATTAGATACAGAGTTCAAAGTGACATCGATATCGTGTTGTCTTTGGGAATCAGATACTGTTCTCCAGTAGTTTCAAGAGGAGATGTTAGCTGTTGGCTCGGATATTCAATCAAATCGTTGCGCTGGCAAAACATTATAGTGTCATCCTGACAGTAAGATCCTTTATGGGTTCGAGAAAAAAAAGTATCTGTTTTTTGCTTCGGTATCGCTTTGTCCGAGTACCAAACTAACCCACTGCTTGCCAGTGCAGTCAAACCGATCTGTACCAGCTTGATTCGACTTAATACGCGAGGACACTATTGAGCCGATTATTTTTCCAAAAGTACACTTTGCTAGAAAAAGAAAAAAAAAACAAATGCCCACTCCCAACACTTGCAGGTTCGAGAAAGATCTGCTGGAGAGAGCAGAGAGCGCAGAGCGAGCGCAAGAGGCGGCGCTGGTGAATCTCCATCCAACGGGGCTGCTGTTGAGCGCCAAGCAGCAACTGTCGCCGCTGGGTAGTGCCATCGTGGGTGGAAGGACGATCGAGGAGCCAGGGTTCCAGCCGCGCGAAGGAATCTTCAATAACCGCGTGCGAGAGGCCCGAGAAGGTATGTCCGTGGTGGTGGTGGCCGAGAGAGTGGTACGATGGGAATGCAATGGAAGAGAAAAAGAGCATCGAGGAGTGATGAGTTTCTTGCTTTGGAGATATAGGGTGATATCGCTCGGCTGAGGGTTAACGGAGTTTAAACAAAATTATACTTTTGCTCCTGTTTTTTTAACCCTTCACAGCCTTATAAGTTGATAACGTAATAATACAAAGGACACACGTGTAGCCCATGTTTACAACGCGTGATTCGGTGTGAACGGAAATAATTTCATTGTAAGGTTTCGATTAGTTGGGAACACGTGACTGACATAAAAACCGGTTCGACTATCGCCGAGGCGTGTGAACGGAGCTCGTACAAGTGCGAGTATGGCTGTATGGAAAATTTTGTCTTTTTTTTTTTTTTATCGTATCTCGGAGAAATATTTTTTCATTATTTTTCTCTTGGTGTTCGTGAAGTTATTGCTTTTATTTTTCCCCCCAATGATCTAATATTTAGCGGTAAATTAGTAAAATTTCGTTAGTATAGGGCAACCAAAAAGTGACCTCAGAAAGTCCTACACATCTGAAATCTTCTACCAAAACTTGTAAAAAAAAAAAAAAAAAATTGCATCGCCATGTATCTGTCAAACCAAACAGTGGGCCGTCACCTGTCGGAATGCAGCTGCGACGAGGCGACTCAGAACAGTCCACTGGCACCACCACTCCCTGGAGGCGCTCTAGTGGCAAGTGACGAGCGAATGGTAATTTTGCGTCGTCTACCCCTGGGCAGCAGCAGTAACGGCTCGGACGCAGGCTCGTCGAGCCACACGCGGCTTAGCAGTACCGACAGCGACGACATATCATGCCCTCGCTCGGCCAACGAGACCCGGGGTGAGCTAAAGCTCGGATTGACCTACGACGCACCCAACGGGCTGCTCAATGTCAAACTTATTGAGGTTGGTTGCAGATTTTTTTCTTTTCAGGCATCTCGTCTGACCATAACCAGGGTTTTCTACTGAATTTTTTTTCCCACTTGGGTATCGAGCTATGGTCTTACAGTTTGAAGCAATAGATTTTTCACTTGAAGTAATTTCATTTAAGTTAATTAACATGCACAACAACGTTGTGCGTAAAATACGATTTTTCTTATTTTTATTGAATATTGTACGCATCGCGTCTGACCATACATTGACTTTTCTACTAGCACTGTCGCGGATGGATTTATTAATTTTCAATGCTTGGCCTTGTTCCACGATAATTTGGAACCTGGAGGGATGATGGACATTAACTTGAAAACCAACTTGTTCGGTTACTCTTTTTTTTTCTTGCTTTACTTTAAACCAAAAGATGCACGCGGCACAGTTCAACTTAAAATCGCGATTCATGGCGAGTATGAATAATCTGCTTTTCACCTCGCAATCTGGGTCACGCAGTTAATTTTGATCCATTGTTTCGAAAACATTAATTACACGCGCCGAGACTCCCACAGCGTGGGCCTGTCCGCTACCTTCCATCAAAAAAATACGAAACGTATCTTCCTCACGCGGATGGAAATTATTTTCACTTTGAAATTAATTAAATTTAATATCACGATTTCAGTCGCGCACCGTTTGAAGTTCGGCCAATAATTTTCTCTCCTTAATTCAACTTTGACTAACTCGAGCCCGCGTTCGCGTTGCGACTAACTTTTCTTCAATTATCGCGTTTACTTGTTCACTCCTCGAGTTTGCTCGACGTTTCGTTGTATACCGCTGTAGCGATGAAAAAAAAAATATAGTAATTTTAACGTGGACAGTTGTTTCATTAAATACGTTGCGATGCTTTTCGTCTCAGATTCGTTTGAACGATCAAAAGGAAAAAATGTTCTTCTTTTCTACGTAAAGTCGAAGAACAAAGGCAAAAAAAATCCTCTTTCAGTTTTCTTTGTTGTGCAAACCACGAGCTTTCACAAAAGACGGGCCTCTTCTTCTCTTGACAGGGGCTGCTTGGGGAAAAAAAGAAGAGTAGCGGATAAACTTTTTTATATGTTGCTGAACATATACATACATATTATGCACGTGATGGAGAAATGTTTCGAGATGCGGAGGGAATTGCCTCTTTATGGGTGATTGAGATAAAATGAAAGGCTTGGAAGTAGGTTTTGATTTAATGTGAAAATTAGAAGTAGATAAGGAGAGCATCTATTCCTCTACAACATAGAATTTTTTTATGTATTTGAGAAGATGAATGTCTGTCTCACGAGAAATCCTTTGTACGTCCTCCTTTGAGTGATTCAAATTAATTACTTTTCTCAAGTACCAAGAAGAAATTGATTGTGAAAAAAATTAAATGAAATTTCAACCACGTGGATTCCTTTTGTAGTCAAGGTTTTCTTCCTTGATACACTACCTTTTTTTTAATTTTCTTACCATACGCACTGTTGAAAGTTAGATAAACAAAAACGGGAACATCCATTAATTTAGTTATTGAGAGGTAAAAATACTTAAAAAGAGGAGCTTTTCGCTCGGAATACGGTATACTGTTAGCTGTTGGTTTCTTACGTATTGTAAAAAAAAAGTCAATCAATTTTAAAAGAGACAAGTGTGCCCATGACGCCCCATTCATCACTCGCTAACACTAGGAAAAAAAACCTTCGAGCTCCTTGAAAAAAAAACCATGACATCTCCTTGCCCTTCAATCTCTTACATTACCTTGCACCATCGACAAGAATCTTATGACGTCACGTCACGAGCTTCTATACATATAGCTCTCTTTTGTGATCGATCGCAAGACTATAGGGACGTGGTTCTACAAAAAATTTTTAGCAAGGAAATTTACAAAAGATATTTTTACACCCTTTGATTAGTGAGATTTTTTTTTTTTTTAGACGAGTGCCAAAAACCATGGGACAAAGTGTGAAAAAATATTAGATACAATGTGACACTTGCAGAGTGAAAAACTTGACTCGCTGAAAAAAAAACTGAAAAGTGTCAGACAACTTGAGTAAACAAATGCCCCCCCCATACTCTCATGGAAAATAAAAATCTGAGTCGCGAAAAAAAAATTTTTTTTTCCTCGTCCAAGGAACTCCTGACTAGAAGTTTTTTTTTCATGCAAGTGCTTCTCTACAACGTAACGCTGTTTTTGTCTCGCAGGCACGCGACCTTCGGGCACGCGACCTCAGCGAGACGGCCGATCCTTACGCCAAGATACGCCTGTTGCCCGACCGGGCCACGGTCAAGCAAACCGCCATACACAAGCAGACACTACATCCTGGTGGGTATACATTTTATACGTGTTACGTGATGCGTGCTGGAATATGGAAGGCTAAGGATTATTGTCACTTTGTATGGTTGTGGACCAGTTTTTTTTTTTTTTTTTTTTTTTTTTTTTTTTTTTCATACGTAACTAAGCGTGCTGTCTTTTATTATTAATGTAACTTTGTTGGAAACAATTTTTTTTCATTTCTCGTTTGTATTAATTAAAATTAACTGCGGGGTCGTGTTCATTAGAAAATTATATTAATTATTTCGTTCAAAAGATATAAATGCAAGAGCAATTAAGTTTTCAATGTGCAAATATAATTATCCGTAGAATTCGACGAGGACTTTATCTTCGAAGTACCGCCAAACTGTCAACTGTCCGAGCGTACCCTTGAGGTACACCTCTACGATTCCGACTCCTCAATCAAGCACCGAGGGATGGGTTACGTGCAAATGTCCCTGTCCTCGATACCAGACCTCTGCTCTGATCAACAGAAAATCATTACCACATCCATATATCGCTACGGCGGCGAGGGAAGATTCAAAGCACCTCCACTTGGCGAGCTGATGGTCTCGCTGTCTTACCAATCCTCAGCCGGGAGGCTAGCTATCATTGTCATCCGAGCAAGAAACTTACCGACCAACGACGAGATCAACACGACTTTCGAGCCCTACGTTCAGGTGATTACAAATGTTTCGGTGTCGATAACAATTATAGTCGTACGAGCCGAGAATTTGAGTAAGTTATTACGAGTATCCAAATTTTTCAGGTGAATATCATGAGAGACGGTAAGAGCTTGAAGCGCAAGAAGACCGGCATTCGTCGTGAAGGCACGAGTCCTGTCTGGAACGATACCCTGAATTTCGACCTGACAGCCGATGTGCTGGCACTTTGTAGCCTCGACTTTTCAGTTTACCGAGGAAACGGTCAGCTACTCGCTCGAGCCGAGGTCTCGGAGGTGCGCCAGTGCGAGCTTTTCCATCGTTTGTTGACTGGTGCTGGGGCTTCGGCTCAGTGGCTGCCACTGTCTGAGCCCGATGTCAAGGGATACGACGAACCACCGAAATCTGCTTGAGGGAGAGTAACTGGGTTTTTTTTTTTTTCTTTCCATCAATAGGTCCAACTTGCTTCCATTGTAATAAAAAATGAATTTCAAAGACCAAGGAAGATGTGGTTTTAATAATCCAAGCTTCCTTGTTTTTGTAACTGCAGACTTAATCACTCTTGGTACAAAAGAATCATTTATACACTAAAGATGAAAATAAAGAGGCTGATGTAACTTAACATAAGAAACGTGTGTCGATTTTGAAGAAAACGAAGTAAATAACAAATGAATCTTACCAAAAAAAGCTTATGTGTATTCATGTGAATTGTTAGTTGTTATAGAAATGTAGAATTCATCATTTTCAATATCAATACCTTATTTTCCAATTTAGATGGATACAAAAATTGTCTTAGACATTTAGCCGAGGAGATAGGAATAAAATAGTGTTTTATGTATTAGTATCTGGGATTGAATATTAGAGTGCACAGATGTAAATTTTTCAGTTTTTTTTTATTTTATTTTTTTTTTAAAGTACAATAAAACTGTACAAAAAAAATGGACCCACCAGAGTTTGTCTAGTCAAATAGACCTATAACAGAAAGAAACAAATAATTGAAATTAGTATATTAGATATAGTCTACAAATCAATAGTAAATCTATTTTCTACAATTTTCTCATCTATAATTTATCCACATACTGTTTCAGTAGCTAATACATGTTTAATAATCATTGAATTTTAGACCACAATTGTAAAGATTGAAATAAATTGAGTTTTATCTTACCAAAGCCCATGTCGTCATCAGATTCTTCTTCTGGTTCCTCTTTCTTATCCTCCTTGGCAGCTGGGGCATCACTGGCAGCAGCAGCTGCAGCGGCTGGAGCGCCTAAGAATAAACAATAGTTTGAATTGTTGTAGCGCTCTCACAAGAATTGAACTAGTATGGTTTTTTTTTTTTAATTTATTTATTATTATTCTTTATTTTATTTATGTGACTAACTGAGAAAGAAAAGTATCTAAGAGTGCTTACCACCAGCTGATGGGGCAGCTCCAACTCCTGAACCAATCTTGGTGATCAGGTCTTTGACATTGATACCTTCTAGAGCCTTAGCAAAAAGACCTGGCCAGTAGGGCTCAATGTCTACACTAGCAGCCTTTAAGATGGTCTGGATCTTTTCACCCTGCAAATCAAAATTATATTTATATTTATACATCTATGATGTAAATGAACTTAATTTATGAAATTATTAAAATATTTGGGCTGTTGATAAAAAAAACCTTGGCATGAATAACATTATTCAACCTAACAGGTTCTTGATTACATTAATTTATCCTCCAATGCTGACCATACTAGTAAGGAATTTTTCTAGTCTGGTGGATGAAAATGAGGACTTTACACAGAAATATGTGTTGAAATTGTAAGATAATTTCTTTATTGACCAATTACGAGGCAAACTCAATATGTTGCAAAAATAAGACCTTATATGCAATGCAATAACAAACAGTTGATACTCAAGATTCAACTGATAATTTATTGAGTATGTTGGTACTTTTGATGACTTGTATGTACTTTACGTAAGTATAGAGATACGAAAATTCTTTAATTACATTGGACGTTTGTATGAAAAAACATGTGTATGCAAAATGTAAACATAACCTTATACTGTTTTGAGAAGGCACCTCTTATAACTAATACGCAATTAGTTCTTACTACAATCTCACAAGTCTGATGTATAGTTATGAAAATACACTACGCTGGCCCAGAAAAAAAAATAGGAAAGCCATTAATAAGCCTTTCGTAATTGAAAATACTAAGTGCAAGAGTGAGGGTAAATTTTACTCACAGTAACGGCGACGTCGTCGTCAGCGAGGATGAGGGCGGCGTACACGCAAGATAATTCTGCCTTCGTCGTCATCGTAGAAATGTAATTTTGCTAAAGCTGAGCCCCGATGGATGAAAATAAACGTGCAAGTCGCCGATTAGGCCTTAGCTCCGAGGACAGAGAACAAGCACGCAGGCTTACGTTATGGCCGTTGCTTTCAGAAAGAACCGGGGACAGACGACACTGACGAGATAAGCGCGCGAGACGCAAAAAAGAAATTTTCACGTACGCTACTGCGCAGGAGACAAGCGCGCTGTTCAAAAGGTTTGAAGGTTTACAAAAAATTTAACCTATAAGGATGTAGAGTGATGAGGTGCTTAGATCTGCGAATATTCTCTCTGCACTGAAAAAGCTAATTAAGATTAATTTTACAGAGTGAATGCTATACATTTGCTCACTATAAACATTAGATAAATACAAAAAAAAGAGAAAACACCACTGTAGCGCCGTTTGGATAGGATATAGGGTACTTTTTAGTTTAAAATTGAGAGCGCTAGATGGCGCTGACCCTAACTGTCTGATGGTAAACATAATTATCACCATGTAGCAGTTGGTCATGCAGGGTTCAGGGCAGGTTGCCTGTGTACCTACCTTTGCTACGGCAGATATACATATATTCACTAGTATTATATGGGCACGTCATGTCAGTATAGATTCGAGATACGTACGACGTACGTTTATAAAACACCTACGTGTTAATGCTTGGCTGTGTTGGACCAATCGCAAGAGAACACGACCGCGATGGCACGGCTACGTTCATCGGCGACGTTGCTCAGAACTCTCGGGAGCAACAGTCAACAGCAGTTGTCTTTTAAAAACAGTTCGTTCACCATAGGATAAGCAGAGCCTTTGTCAAAGAATAAGCTGCTGCACATCTGATCCTCGTTGATGTACGGTGTGAGTTGTGCCTGTTTGTTTTGACACTACGACTACGAGTACTTTTAACTCGTCACGTGTATAATCTATACAGTTTGGATCTCCAAGTTTCCGCTGGCTAGCCCGTTCGGGAGGCTGATTAATAAATATTTAGAAGCTGAAAAACTGGCTAATTCACGCTGTCTTCATGTACCGTTACGGATTGTTTATCGTTCTGCTGAACATCGGTTGGGATGGTAAGTCATTTAACACGTATACTACTTACAGTACGATTTTCCAATTCGCTTACCTAATGTCATTTTCTGTCGTTCCCAATGTTTACAGTGAGTGCCAATAAGGGCTTGGATAGGCTTTTGGAGCTTGGCACGGATTTCCTGTCAAAAGGCCGATTTCAGGATGCCCTGCAGTACTTTCACGAAGCTGTTGGTAAGGCTTTGTCCTTTTTGGATTATAACTTTGTGCAACCATACTAGTGCTCCTAACTCTTTGGAGCTGTATCTTCGTTGACAAGTGCTTTGTTTTTAACTTTCATTTTGTTTTCGTTCTCTAGAAAAGGATCCAAACAATTACTTGGTGTACTACAAGCGAGGAACCGTTTATCTGGCTTTAGGAAAGGCCAAGCAGGCCTTGACGGATTTTGACCAGGTTCTAGAATATAAGCCCGATCTTAGTTCCGTTAGGATTCAGCGGGGCAATATTCATCTGAAAAATGCTGACTTGGACAAAGCCGATCAAGACTTCAGGGTTGTTGTAAGTGGTATTTTTAATTTTTGCTGCCCAATCTATTTTTATAGTGTCGCGTTACGAAATGCTTTGACAGCAACTCCACCCCTATTCTATCGTAAAATTTGTGTTTGAAAACATGACGAATATTTTCATTGCTTTAGTTTCACGAAAATTACAATGACGAAGAAGCACAGATTGGGATGCATAAGGTTAGCTTGGCCAAGGAGTTTATAGAGAACGCGGAATATTCAATTCAACAGGAAGACTATAATTCAGCTATCGAAGATTTGACAAAAGCCATTGAAATCTGCCCATGGTCTTTTAACCTTAGAGAATTACGAGCAAAATGTTATAAAAATGTTGGAGATCCTTATACCGCGGTGCACGACCTCAAGTCTGCGCTAAAACTCAAGGTGGACAACACTAAGGGTTACTTTGAGCTTGCTACCCTACTCTATCTTCTTGGACGTGTTGAAGAATCACTTGAGTAAGTGTACATTTAAGTGTGAGTAAGTTTATTCAAGTAAGTGTATGTTAACGATCAATTTTCTGTATTTTGCAGGGAAATCAAACACTGTCTGAAATTGGACCCTGAACACAAAGACTGTTTTCCGTTATACAAAAAAATTAAAAAAGTAGCGAAATCTCTAACTGATGCAGAAAGGGCTAAGGAGTCAGAAAATTGGTCTGAATGTATACAAAAAGCGAATAACATACTTAAGCACGAATCATCAGTGGCTGAAGTTAGGTTCATTGGTTTTAAGTTGTTGTGCAAGGCTCATACTGCTAACAACGAAGCAAGTAATGCACTTGAAAATTGTCAAGCTGCACAGGATATTATTAAAAGTGTAGATAGCAATGACGTATACAGGATAGTAGACATTCTCTGTGATACTGCTGAGGCATATTTATCAGCAGAATTGTATGATGATGGTAAGTTTGTCACTTACATCCTTCTAATTATTTTTAATCGTAAAATTCTAACTGTTTTTGTTTTCAAACATCTAGCTGTAATGAAGTACAATGAGGCATTGAAGTTGGATTCCGGCAATGAGAGAGCCAAAAGTGGTTTACAGAATGCAGAACAGCAACGGAAAAAATCAGAAAGTCGAGATTACTACAAGATTCTACAAGTACCAAGAAACGCGAAAAAACAACAAATCGTCAAGGCGTACAGGAAAGCTGCACAAAAGTGGCATCCCGATAACTATCCAGATCCTATGAAGAAAAAAGAAGCCGAGAAAAAGTTTATTGACATCGCAGCTGCTAAGGAAGTCCTTACAGACGATCAGAAGCGTGCAGAGTTCGACGCTGGCAGGGATCCACTTGATCCTGAATCTGGTAGACATGAACAGGGTTTCCATTCCTTCCATAATTTCCACCAGGGTTCACCTTTCCATTTTAAATTCCACTTTAACTAAGGATATCGGTATTTCATTAATTTTTTTTCCGCAGTGTTCTTGAATTCAGAGTAACCCATTTACTTTTACCATCAAATTTTGCGTTTTATTAAAATATACTTCCTTAATTGTCATTTCAACATTAGGAAAGAGGATATCACATTATATTAGATTATGTTAACGTTTTTTATTAATTTTATAATGACTATTAAAACGAATAGAATTGAAGCTCATCTAGTTGTAGTGATAACTTTTTTCTAGTGTAATATTTAAAAATTTTAAAGTACTATTTCTGTTGAAGTATATCAAAATTGAAAATATTACTCTGAGCGTTCAAGAAAGTAGTGGGAAATTGAAAAAAAAAAAAATCACGAGTGTCATACCTTACTAGGATGGACTGCTATGAATTTTACTAATGTACATACGACAAGCTAGTGATTTTTTTTACGTAACTGAATAATAAAAGCTTGTCCCGTTGCGTTCCAAAGACAGTGGTATGAAGGTTTTTTTTTCTCGAGAAAAGAGATGAGAAAAGAACCCGAATAAACAGTACATACTTCCACGTCATTCAAGTTACAGTGTATAAAAGTGCATCATAAACATCTTATACATTGCGTGAATGGAATTTCATCGGACATTGGTAAAACGTTTGTAGAAAGCAATATTTAGCGATTTTAATGAGATATCTACAGATAGCATTTTACCGGTGCCCGGTGCCAATCCTAGGTTGAAAAAGCGTATGAAACTTTTGAATGCAGTGCTGTGCGCGTGCTCCGAATACTTGAAACGATTGTACACTCGAGTTGATGCAAGATGTTTGTAAATATTAATACTTATAATTCTCTAGACAATTTGAGAATATACATTTCGACTATTTATACAGAACTGCGTTGAATTATTTTTAAGTTTTAAGGCGAAGAAATGGCAGTTATTTTTTAACTTTTTTTTTCTTAGACTTTTTTTTCTTTTTACTCTTTTTTTTCATCAATGCCGAATAAGGGCCCAATTTATGCCGAACCATGTAGCCCCTCCAAATTGCTTGAATCAACGTCGCGGCCGTATTAACGTCAACCCAATAATCATGTTCAGCCTGTATTTTTCTCTGCTCCTCCATATACTCGTCTATCACAACTTGCCGTTGGCTTTGTAAAATACGCGACTCTTCGAGAAATTCTTGCAACTCTTCGATCCTTTCCTATGGAAAGAATTCAAATGAAAACTCAAGTGTCTTTTTTGGAAAAAGAAAAAAAGATTAAAGATGTGCTTTTAGAAAATAGATGATAATTTTACTAATGAAATTGTTTATATTAACCAAATGTTTTGTGTTTTTTTTCTATACAAAGTATAACGAAATTGTAAAATCAACATTCTTACGTCCTAATTAACATTGAAACAAACGAGTTTGTTAACGTAAAAGTAAATTAAATGTAATTTCAAATGTCACCTGTAAATCCTTGATTTCTTGCTCTCGTCTTTCCAATTCGTCGTTGTACCTATTAGTCCACACCTCAACATCGGCTTCGTTGTTGTTTATAACAAACTTTAAATAAGTTTTCAATTCCTCGGATACTCTTGCATCGGTATGCTTTGCTCTGTGCAATTCCTCGATTTCGCCCAGTACCGATTCTTCCCTCGAAAGTTGCCGCAAGTTTTGCTGCTCTAGTTTCGAGTCTTCCCATCTGCGCACGTAATCTACACGAGAAAAAATAACAAATCACATCTCCACTCCTACTTTACCGTACACAAGACAATGTTCACCTAATTTTTCCTTGTTGACGCAGTACGAGCTATCGATCTCCATCTCTAATCTTTCGATTTTCTCCGTGTACTCTCGCCTCTCGCTTTCGAATTCCTTTTCCCGCGACTCGAGCGACCCTTGCAACCTCCCGGCCAAATCGAGCCAAATTTTCAAGTTGACCTCGAGATTCGCGTTATTCTCTTTGGTACCGATGATCGTGTTGACTTCGGAGCACAGCCAGTCGTAGGTGCCGTCAGTTTCGAGTTCGCAGGCAACTTTGCGAAAAACATTGTAAACTAATTTCCTACCAACGCATCATTACCACCCGATTGTAAATAAGTTGGACGTGTTTTATTCTCCCTCCCCCTCTCAAAAAAAAGGTTGCGCTACAAACCAGTCCTCGAGTAGTTTCTGATGGACACCGAGAATAACGGGCACGTAGCCATCTTCTTCCGGAAAAAACATGATTTGCTCGTTGGCAGGGTCACAGGTGTTCTTTTTCCTGGCCAGCCTTTGCCTCGGGCTTGACTGCTCGTCCTTGGGAATAGTCCGAAGGAGCAGGTCGAGCCGGTCGATGGCTTCGCGTAGGATTTCGGCAAAGGCCGCGGCCTCGACTCTGCTCAGAGTTTCGTCGCTCAGGAAGTCGAAAGATGCCATGCTGTGGACGCCGATGTTGGGCGAGGGACACGCGAGCGAACTGATGAGGCTGTCTAGACTCGGGTTCGCGAATACCGTGGTCAGTGCCTCCTCGTCGAAGCCCTAGGAGCTCGGGTTATTTATTGTGTTTTTTTTTTTTTTTTATTCTTTTGGAGAGGCTTTGGTGATAAATTCTCGGTGCTCACGCATTTGTACGAATAACTTTTGGAAGAGACCGTCCTTTCGGAAACGAGACTCTTTCTGTGCCTCTCCACTTGGACGGGGGATTTTTTCCGCTGGGGGCCTTCCACTATGCTGATTTTTTTCTTTTCCCGGGGAACCTTTGCCTCCCCGAGTTTTTTCGTCCCACGTTTCGCGTCGCCATCCGCCTGAGGTAACTTTTGATCAGTACAAGTATTGAAAAATTATTGGTTGGAGGGGTCATAATTACCACAACATCGTTAGGTTCCATGTATCTTCTTTATTTGCGACACCAGCTTTAGTATCAACGATTTCGACGCAAAATATTTTTCTAGAACACAATTTTTATAACGTGAAGTTACTTTCATTCAAACCCCGTATGAACGGTAGTCTTTTATTTTTTGCGAGAAACGTGACGGACATTTTAGTTGCTCCATTAACAATATAGAAGATGGTATTTTTCTTTTTTTTTCCTTTTTTTTTTTACACAGTGGAGAGAAAACAAGTGCTTTCACTATTTTTCTAATACATTCAACAAAGGAACTTCGTTCCATACAATAAATAACATATTAACATAATTTCTCGTACAATTTGAGCGTTTTTCGTTCAACAACTTTTTCTAGATTATGTTTTAATTATTATTATCATTTTTTTGATTTTTAAAACACAATGATTTTATTATTCAATCGTTTCCATGATATAAGTATATGATAATAATTTATTTTTGTGCAATAAAATTTGTATATTGAAAACAATTTAGTTTTACTTTCTCTTCATCGAATCGATCGAGCGTAATTTCAACAACAATTCAAAAACACTCTAGTTAGCTATGATAACAACTATTGTCTGCGAGATATGGCACTTGTAAGCGTACTTATACGAGCTTTCATTCGACATCTTCACACTTTTAGCATTTATTCATCATCTGTAACCACTTATCCACACAATTGACTAAAAATTGATTGAAAAAAAATGAAATAAAACGTGCCCGATCAAAAGGGTCAGGAAAACTAAAATCGACAAGAAGAACCTTACCTCCGGCGAGGAAAAATTCTAATACCGTTCGTACATTTATATACAATGGGTGCTACGTTCGTCGATAAGCAGTAACGCTATATTAAATAATTGTAGCTATATTTACACTCTTACAGCACAAAAATGCTTGTGAATGGTGTAAACAATTACAGTTGCGAGCTCCTCCTCCCTCGAGGAAATCAGATAGCACAGATCAAGGGTCGTGACCACTTAAGCTGATTAAAAATTCATAGATTCTCGTGTCTCCGATTAAAAATATAACTTTTTTGTCGATTCCTACCATATAGGATATCGATCAAATGGGAGGAGTTTTTTAACGTATATTTTTTGCCATAAAAGAAAAAATAGAAAAAATTACCAATTCTAAAATTGGCGAAGACCCTAGCAATCGGCTCTACTCGTGCACCGAGACCAAAGGAAAAAAAAAATCTAAAAAGACTTGATCGACGGCACTGAAACAGCGGTAAAAATAAAAACTAAAAAATGCTCCTCTCGTTGCACGACAAGAGCAAAATTTACTGGCTAGAAAAAAAAAAAAAAATACGGGGGGGATGTCACACTCGATCTACATAAAGTAGCTGGTGTACTCGTGCGGCATGACACCGCGGCGTGGGTAGAAAGTGTGGCTGGTCGAGTAGCACAGGAGATTCGTGATCGAGCTCATGTAGATGTCGGCGAAGCGAAATAGCCGGCGCGAGAAGTAAGTCGGATTATGGTAGGTCCGAAACACCGAGCCGAACTGCTGGTTGAAGACCCGCTTGATCGAATTGCGCAGTTGGTCCCGCTCCTTTATCCACTCGTTGAGCAAATCCTCAGCTTCGGGCCCGTCCACGTTCTGATGGTCCTCGATCAGGGCCGTCAACATCTGCAGCCAATTGGCGTCCTCTTTGAACTTTGGATGATTCAGCGTCTCAATCTCGTGCTGTTACCGATCCTTCATTTTTATTCTGCGATTCATCATAAAACAAAGAAAAAAAAAAAAAAAAAAAAGTAATTTTACCGCAAGCTCCTTGATAATGGCCCCTGTGCGCCAGCCGTGCTCGAGCGTCACGTCCGCCAGGTCGCTGTACGGGTGGTCCCCGAAGTAGAGCACCTGATGGCCTCGCCAGCCCGTGGTGTCCTGGAGCTGCTTGACCGTGCCCTCGAGGTAGATGACCCCCTTCTCGAGCTTGACCACCCTGTCCCAGAGTTGGGTCTCGTTCCTCTCGTCGTACACTCGCAGCGGCCGCGACTCCTCCGTGAAGAAGCGCGGCTTGCGCGCCTGCACTATGACCACGTCGAAGTACAACTTCCAGTCGTCCCCCACCAGAAAGCTCATGCCCTTGTTGCTGTTGGTGTTTTTACGTTAGTCTATATTACTTACGTATGGGCTCGATTTTATCGTAAAAGACATGAAAGATGAAAGAGAGGCGGCTTACACGAAATGAAAGGGACTATTCGTGACGAGGAACATCTTTTTGTTGGCGGCCTTTAGGCGGTCCAAAAACTTGACGAGGTCCTTGTTCTGCTCGAGATACTCGGACACGTTCTGCACCACGAGTTGATGCATTATCGGATGGCAGCTCTGCACCGAGTTCTAAATGCAACAGAGGAAAAAAAAAAAAAAAAAACCCATGAAATTTTCTATCGAACCCTTTGGAAATGTTACGCGCGCGTTTATCATTATATACCTTGACGTCCCTGAAGAGTATTTCCGGATGGTAGTCTATGTGATTTTGCAGGAAGTACTCGGTGACGTTGCAGAGCAAACTCATTTCCGGCACCGAGAACAGATCGGCCAGCTGCACCATTTTCGTGCGGCGCACGCCGTCCTGCAAACATACGCGCGTTCACACTGTATTGTATAGGTAGGTGGTGCTAATTGACATTTGGCGGCCTCTGCATGGCTCTGACGCGCCGGGCATTAAATTTGCTCTACTTCGCTACATATCTATGTATACACAGCTGTCAAGCAACAACACAACGTGTGATGATGATAACAACTTCAATATCGAGTTTCGAAACTGATTCCAACTTTGATAGCTGTACACTATTAGCTGTCCATACAGTTGGCTGGTGATACGGTGGTTTTATTTTGCCAAGCGCGTATTTTTTTTCTTTCTCTTATTGAATTCCCATATTTTTGATTATCTTAAAGAAAATATTATTCCGTATGACTTTTGGGGAAGAAAAAAAAGAAAGAAACCAGTAAAATATGATTGTGCTTCTTATTCGCTTCGACGACATTGAAATCTGTTCTTTCGCGTGCAACAGCGCGAATGGTCATTGAAAAATTGTTGAGTTAATTTATCCTGCATGGTATATTTTTCAATTCCACTCGGCTGAGCCTCGGGTATTGATTGCGTAACTTTTCGGGCAATCGCGAATGAAAAAGGTTTTTTTCGCAAGTACCGAATCGTATCGTTTGCGTGTGAATAAAAATGTGGAGGCTTTTCGATACAAATAGTTTGTGGATTTTTATTAACAGCTGAAATGAAGTTAAAAAATATTACACTAAGCATTAGATGACAAAAGAAAAAAAATAGTGCCAACAACGTAAAATGGGTCCAAAAACACATCGGTTCACTTGTACATGCACACGTGATGTGCCACTTACCTTCTAGCTCCTCAAAAATCGGCAATCGGTCGTGTTACAAGGGAGAAGATCACACATCGAGGTATGTCAAGACATGTGAAAAGAGACAGTCACGAAGTGCACGAAAAACATCATCATTATTATTATTAATCATGTTTCTTATTCATGTAATTTTTTTTTTTCCTTTTCTTAATCATTTTAACAATCTGTTGGATGTATCCGTACGTCGAAAACACATGATACATTATAAACATTAATTATACATTTATAAATTATGTCACGTTGAATATGTGCGTATTATCACTCAAGTATTATATAATAGGGATCCATGGCGTGTATGTGATTGTTATCGGCAGAGTTACGCGTGTACGTGTCAAACAGAAAATTGAATGTAACGAAGAGTGACAGTGAATGAAGAATGAAATATAACGTGAACGCGTATGCGTATTAAAAAAAAGTAAGGTATACTTGTATACTTGTACTCTTCTGTTTTTGTTGTTTCATGATAAGTAATCGTAAGAGAATGGGTATAGTTATTGCAGATTTATAGAGTTAAGAGACTCACATGCGAGTGCTTGTACGGCGCCTCGACGTAGGCGATCGGTATGATCCGATTTTTGTACAGCCTGAGGACCTCCTCGTCCGGCACGGGATGGATGCCCCTGTATACCGTGCCCAGTTGTATCTGCAGGAAACTGTCGAGCTTGAGGAGCAGGCCCTTTTCGATGTCGTAGTGTAGTCCGCGGACCGCAAAGTTTTCGCGGTACTGCAGATCGGCGATACCTTCGGGATACTGTATCGTTGAGACACGGGAAGGACAAAAATCGAAAGATCGTCTCACGTGCGTATACGAGGAAATAAAAAAATACAAAAAAAAATTGTATTGCAGTTGCGGTTGTGAGCTTACTTTGTACTTTTTGATGAGCATGTCCCTGCCCAAGTTGTAAAGGAGGTAGTCCATGCTGGGCTTGTAACAAGCGAGCGTGTAGTCATAATCGAAGCCATAGACCTGCACCTCCTTCAGATCCAACTCGTTGCAGACAAAGACGCCACGTGGGTTCACATCTTGGGGTAATTTCTTAGCTGCCAAGTATTAACATTCGCTTGATAAATAAACGAGTTTTTTTTGTTTTTTTCTTTTTGTTTATGCAAAGTGAGCAACTTTTGCGTGCTCGACCGCATTCTCGTATTTCTAAAAAAAAAGCTCCAAGGCGCTTACGTAGATATGTATTCTCGTTTCGCGTCTTTGCCAACGTCATCAGTAGTAACAGTCGATTCTGGCAAGACCCGAGATAATGAAATTCCACCCATACATACACATAGATACAGAGATCCATCGATGATAAAAAAAAAAAAAAAAAAAAAATATAGGAGGAAGGAAGCAGATATACCGAGCAGTTGAATCGGATGGATTGGCATTGACCATCGCCGAGGATTACCTATAACGCGCGCGCTACGCTATTTAAAGCCAAGTGCACCTCGTTGGCTGCCGCTCTGCCAAAGCTCCCTGCCACTCGATACACGTGCACATAATACGTACTCGCAATCTATATACCCAGTGACATAGTTGCGAAGGCGGGAGCATGCGCCCACTACACGTGTATCTCGCGTCCTCCTCGCTCCCTCGCGGGTGGATAGGCTGTACGGCATGCATTTTGCTAAGATAATTTCGTTGGCACTCGAGAGCTTGCAAGCTTCGTTGAGCAGCGTCACGTAACGTACACCACCCACACGAACACGTACCGATTTTTTCCTCTTCCTCCCGTACAACGAACCTTGGCTCATAAAAAAAACATCCTGCAAAAATAGCTCGCGCATCGATTCATCCGCTATTCGCCAAAAACTCCCCGATTTTCGAGATTTTCTCTCATGAATGTACCAATTTCGACGCCTCGACAAATTGACGTTCCCCTCGCGCCGTCCGTCGCGCATCAACACGATTTTCTCTCTCCGTCGGCCCCCTTCTATTTCGATCCCAAGTATGAACTCGTCAACCTGTCCTCGGTCCCTCGAAATTGACACTTCCGATCGTCCACCGCAGAATTGTCGCAGTAGCGCACGTGTTTGCCCTCTCTGTCTTTTGGACCCACCCACACACTCGCACGTGCAAGTACACATCATACATGCGTATACGCGGATGATGGATTAATACACGGGTAAACGAGGTAGGTATATGGGTACTCACACTTGCACTTGTCGAGCATCATGGCGTAGCTGCGGCGCATCCTGGCACTGGAGACCTTTGGTGGTTCCAGGCCAAAGCTCCGGGCGCCGATGATGGCATGTCGCTGCTTCCCCCCTTCGAGTGGCCTGCAGTGGCCCAACAACGGTTGCGTGCCCGGAGCACCACCAGCGACCACACTCGAGCCGACCGAGCGGAGCTGCCAGCACGTCCGCGCGAGCAACATGACGGTCACGCGGCGGATGGCGCTGACGACGCGCCGACCGCTCGCTCTTGCATCCACGTTGTACCACTACTGGCTGAGCGAGTGCCCAGACTACACGTTACAGCGATTTTCTACCGATATACATGTACGTGTGTGCGAGGAGTACGGAGTCAGCTGTGTCGGTTGGCGCGCGCGCAAGCTCGCACGTTCTTCAGCCCGTGTGTGCTTTTTCCCCCCTCCCTTTGGCTCCGCATCAATGAATTTATTTTTACTTCTTTTTTTTTTTTTTTTTTTTTTTTTTTTTTTTTTTTTTTTTTTTTTTTTTTTTTTNGGTGACTAAAAAAAAAAAAAAAAATGACCGAGGGTATCACACCCACCTTGTGATTCATGGCTGACCAACTTCTTCGCAATGGCGCACATCTATAGCATTATACTTCGCAGCCTCGCTTCGATGTGTATTAGGTAGATGAAAGCTATGATAATGGCACACGATAGGTTAAAGCGCGAGAACCATCATCCAATGGACACTTTTTTGTTGCGTTTAGGAGAGAATTGGCGATTCCTTTGCGCGAGTGTATATAATAATGTACAATCATGCGTGGGGAGAGCCTCGGAGCGTTTTGTACGAGGATAATTTCAAGCTTCGGGCTTGACGAGTATGGAAAGGGTAAGTGTGCTACATTTCAAGAGATGCAGATAAAGATACAAGTGTAACGAACGCGTTTTCTGGTTGTGTGGCCAGCGAATCCATTAAATGCTTTTGGATGGAGCGATCTTTTTAAATCCACAAGTTTGACGAGTGTCAATGACAAAAAAAAAGAAAGAAAGAAAGAAAACAGAAAAAACGTACAGGAAAAGAATCTAGAACATCGTCCATTCGTCAAATAAATTGACTCCGGCGGTGTAATCGATAAAATCTGCGTGCGCTCAATCGGCCACTGCTATCTCCGTGCGTTGTATATACATATACGTACATGTGAGAGTTTCTCTCCGCGGGCATTTTTTCGCTTCAACCTCCTCAATACGTATGGGTATGATATTTATGGTCCCATTGCATTATCGTCACCGCCGTATATAATACTGCTGGATTCACCAGGTTTACTGAAATTTCATCGGCTGTGTACTAACAACCTAAATTTCATGGATAATCCGAAACCAACAATCTTACACATAAATACGTACAGGCAGTGTAAGTATTATATATGAGAAATTCCACAAAAATAAATTTACCGTTTAAACCTGGAAGAATTTAAATAAAATGCTTTCGGATAAAGTCTTTTTTTTTTTTTTTTTTTTTTTTTTTTTTTTTTTTTTTTTTTTTTTTTTTTTTCGTTAAGGAGTGCGAGCTTGCGAAGATGATGCACGGAGCTTTCATCTGGTTTGATATACCATTGCCTTCCCTCAATTAGTGCAAACTTGGCAAACAAATATAATTGGATTATCGATCAACCGATTCGCATAATGGAGAGTGCGGGGTGCGTTTAACACCTACGTACCTACGCCAGAGGCAGAAAGTGGAATTGCTAGATTCCCGACGGTAGATTCTATACCTCGGCGCTGCTCGATCGATAGGTGAGCGAGGGTTTTTCTGCTTTCGGGGCGATGGAATCTAAATCGCTGGGGGGCTTTACTTTCTTTTTTTTTTTTTTTTCCCTACTAAAAGTAGGTCGCTTTCCCTTTTTTTTTGAAAAATGTTTTTTCGATAAGTAGAGCATGTTTTAAAAGCACTTATGCAAGAGTTTTTTCCCCGATCTTTTTTTTTTTTTTTTTTTTTTCTTTTCATCTGATTCTATAAATAGCCTAGATCTGCGATGTATCTCATTCGAGCGCTTTTTCTAATGATCGCAAGTGTGTAAATCTGTAAAGGAAACTCATGAATAATAATGACCAATAGCTTAGGCTCTGGTTTTCCGGAAAAACTCGACCGTTCTATAGGTATAACGCTCGCAACAACGAAAAAGTTTCGAGATCATCGCATCCAATAAATCGAAACACCCCATCCGACCCTCCCTCTCCGGGCATCGACGCTTGCTAATAAGTTGGGAAGAATTTCAATAAGCCCCACCCGCAAATATTATCCCATTTCGTGAATTTCTCAACTTGGAATCTGTTTTACGGTGGTGCACTTGACGCGTAAGTATATAATATACGAGGCGCCCTTCCCTCGAGCCTCCCGTGGCCCGGGGAGTACAGGTACGGTCCACAAGTTGGATGGATACGAGAGAATTTGCTTATGAGCATCTGCATTATACCGAATCCTGCCCTATGGGAGGGGGGGGGTGCTGAATTCCAATTTCCTGCCATGAACTTTGCCCGAGTACGTATACGGTTGCCGCTCACTGCCATGGGGCAAGTAAGATCGGCTCTTTCAAATTGAAAAGTATCACAATCCACGCCCGGAGAGTTTCTTTCTAATTGTTGGGTAATATTTTTATTAAAAAAAAAAAAGCTTTTTCATAATGCTCGTGACATTATTTCGCACCACTACCAAGATTTCACGTGCATCACGTATATACTTTTACGCGAAAACATTGGGGGTGTAAGTCACTTCTCCCAACAAGAAGCCACACACTTTAGTAGAGAACCCTTACGTCTTTCTTTCCGAGCCGCAATTGATTTTATCTATGTCTACACGCCCCGAGGAAACCGTATCAACAATTACTTCAGCCCCTTCTTTTACCCATGAGTCATCTGTACACCAAACTCGAAAAAATAAAGGAAAAAAAAAAAAATCAAATCAAAGAGTCGTTGTGGTGCCTTGTTCTACATCCCAAAGTAACGAGCAGCCACTGATTAACAAATCTTTGCAGTTTTCAATCAAGTACATGCCTTTGACGAAAAACCATTGTTCAATTGAAAGTCCGCGGTACAGTATACCGGCATCATCTCGTCGACTCGTTTTGGCGCGTCTACAACACGGAATTCCAGGTCAAATTAACCATGCAGTCAAAAAATAAGAGCTTTGTCAGTTTTTATTTTTACCCCCCCTTTTTTAACGAGGCTTAATGATAACGGGGCCACCGACTCGGGAGATGAGTATCGGGGATTGATTTTAAGCCGCGCAAAGTGACCTCGAATTTGCATTTTTCGCCTCCAAAGGGAGGAGCCGCCCCGGTTGACGTATGGCTCTCTCCCCTCTTTTTTATTTATTTTTACATTTTCCAGCTCACTCGACGCGTTATGCAAGCAAACTCTCCGGCTTATCGCGGCTACTTAATCTTTCACCGCGTGCGTGTACACTCTTGGTGCGGTTATTATAATATATTTGTATACGCATGTGGCGTGTACGCGGGTTATCGTGATACACATACCGTCCGAGAGTCATTACGGTTTACGAGCGGATCCTCGATGCGCCAATATCCCGAGTGATTGCAAACAAGACCCGCTCCTCCCACTGTGCATTACAAGCAAATTTATGTTGTAAGCAACAATTTATTGGCGCTGGGTAAATATTTGACTTGACGCTTAACTCGTTAAGTTAGAGCTCGGCTCGAGTGACGAGTAAACACGCGGGGGATTCCCATATACGTATAGGTACAGTTGACGATAAGGCTTAATAACTTCCTACTGCTTTTTTTTTTCCTGCTGTGGGTACATAAATGAAAAATTGAAAAAAAGCACCTTTTCTAGACGAGAAAAGAGAAGCGGGTAGACATTTTTCACGCCTCCACTCCGCGAGATAAGGATTGGTAGACTTTGAATATCGATAAACGCCCCGTACGGAGCGCGGATCTACGTCGCCGTACAACGAACATAAATTACAAGGCAGGTCGGTGCACTTGATCCGAGCGATCAATGTACCTGTACATGCACTTGATTGCGTATCGTGTCGTATATATACACGCGGGCTAAATAACAAGTGGTGGGCGCTTTTCACAAAGTCCCCATGCATTTATACATGATGTAAGTGTTTATGTATACGGAAGAGAAAGAATGAGGATGGGGACGTGGGTATATATACCTATACCTCGCAGCACTCGGCTGACCTAATTGCCTAATCTAGCAGCTCTGCTGTCGCCGCGGGCTCTCGCTCGAGTCTCCGGGGTCCCTTCTCCCCCTGTATACCCTCTTATCTCTTCGCGAGGCTAAAGACGCCTGCTCGACTTTGGTTTTCCCTCCTTTTCACGCAGCTACGGGTTCAAATTGACAGTCACTACACCGATTGTTTCATTCATTTTGTGGGCTTTTGTCTTATCATTGTTCAATGAAGAAAATGGTACATTTAATCGACAACTTTGCGACACGTGAACGTATCTCTTGTCCCCTACCGTACCGAATCACCATAATTTACCATAAATGTCGTCGCGCGTGTATATACCTGTATAAAAGACACCACAACGCGCTCGAGGGTATACAAGGACATTTTTACGCCGACCTTTGCAAATTTTGCGAGATTTACTCATCGGCTCCTACATCTCGCTTACACGACACGCGAACAAACTGCTACTATGCGCCAGCGGTTACGCGTGTACACCGGCACTCGTTAACACGTCGGATCTTTGTTCTTCGCGGCTTGTAAATACATACACAAGCGTTTCTCCGTCGTCGTGGGCTTCGAGCCACTTTTCTCGATTAGAATGTTAACGATCAACCTTAACGATGAGCTTCAATTAAGATTCCACCTCGCGACAATCGAGCCGATTTTTGTGCGCGACTTGTTACATCGTCAGAAAGTTCAATCGTTTTGGCGAACCAGTAAGTGACGATATTTTGTTTGTCTTGGCATCGGTATTAATTCAATTGTCGATCTATTACAGAAGACAAAATCGAGCCATCACGCAACAAGTGTTACACACGTCCCATGTAACACGCGTTAGCTCCAATGTATAATCAAAGCTCTTCCATATACATGCATCCGACTTTCTCGCGTTTTACAATCCAAAATCCATAAAAATAGTATACATATATACCTAGATACGATTCGACGCGGTATAGGTACGTGACGTATACTTTTGGAGGAGAGCTGTAAGCGCAATCGAGCCGCAATCTCGTCGAATCATCAAATCAACGCTCGCTCCGAATTTCCACTTCCGCTCGTACAGCACACACACACGGTATACAATTCAGTGAAAA